AATACTATGAAACACCCAGATACACCGAAACTCGTTCTATCAACATATTTCTACGCTTCTTGAACAATCGCAAAGCGCTTTATCAAATTTCAGTTTTAACAAATTATATATTATATTTTGGTTGCTTTAAAGGCTTTGGTCTACTTTCATTTCTTTCTGTAGTAACTTAAGGGGGACGGGAGCAAAGTGTGTTGGAAAACACATCTTGAGTAGTGTTATCTGGAGGGAAACATCCGGGTATCATTACTTACTTACAAAGTCCTGCAGTCCAGGACGACTCTCTGTTTATCGGTATAACGGTTTGACAAATTTCCGTACACATATCCGATCAATAGTGGTGAACGGGCTCAATAACTTAATTAAATATGATTGTATCTTATTTCTACTGACTATAATGCTGTTAGGCGTCAGCCGTGACGAGGTTTGGTGTTGGGATTGAATAAAAGTTGGATTTGATGGGTTTCTTACGCCCAGGAGATAATTCTCCTTCTCGTCTAGCAAGTTATCATTTCTCTGAGAAATAAGAAACCTATCAAACATTGCTACTATCATACGAATTTCATGGTTGGTACTGTATCGTTATGATTCACCGGGGAGATACACAAAAGTAGCACTCATGTCACAGGTAACATTTATATTACAAGTAACACTCAGAAAGGTGGTATAACCCTTATTACACCTTTATGTGTGTTACCTGTAATAAGAGTTATATCACCTTATCATAGGTAACACTCATAAAGGTGGTATAACCCTTATTACAGGTAACACTCACAAAAATGACATAACCCTTATAACAGGTCACGCACAAAGGTGACATAACCCTCATTACAGGTAAAACTCACAAAGGTGACATAACCCTTATTACAGGTAACACTCACAAAGGTGGTATAAACCTTATAACAGGTAACACTCACAATGGTGGTATAACCCTTCTAACAGGTAACACTCACAATGGTGACATAACCCTTATTACAGGTAACACTCACAAAGGTGGTATAAACCTTATAACAGGTAACACTCACAATGGTGACATAACCCTTATTACAGGTAACACTCACAAAGGTGGTATAAACCTTATTACAGGTAAAACTCACAATGGTGACATAACCCTTATTACAGGTAACACTCACAAAGGTGGTATAAACCTTATAACAGGTAACACTCACAATGGTGATATAAATCTTATAACAGGTAACACTCACAAAGGTGACATAACCCTTATTACAGGTAACACTCACAGTGGTGACATAACCCTTATAACAGGTAACACTCACAAAGGTGGTATAAACCTTATAACAGGTAACACTCACAATGGTGACATAACCCTTATTACAGGTAACACTCACAAAGGTGACATAACCCTTATTACAGGTAACACTCACAATGGTGACATAACCCTTATTACAGGTAACACTCACAAAGGTGATATAAACCTTATAACAGGTAACACTCACAATGGTGACATAACCATTATCACAAAGGTGGTATACCTTATAACAGGTAACACTCACAATGGTGACATAACCCTTATTACAGGTAACACTCACAAAGATGACATAACCCTTATTACAGGTAACACTCACAGACATAACCCTTATACAGGTAACACTTGGTATAAACCTTATAACAGGTAACACTCACAATGGTGACATAACCCTTATTACAGGTAACACTCACAATGGTGACATAACCCTTATTACAGGTAACACTCACAATGGTGACATAACCATTATAACAGGTAACACTCACACAGGCGATTTAACTTTTAACTTTTGTTACAGGTAACACTCACGATTACACCGGTGTAATAAAACAGTCATATCATCGGTTGTCACCCCAAGAGTGATACAAAAAATGTACCGGGGTGATATAACACTCACGACACCGGTACCACTGACAAGAGTGTTATAACACCCGTTATACATATTCACCAGGGTAATATAACAAGAAAGATGTGACAACCATATCACCATCAACATGCAAAAGATGGATGAAACACCCATTACATCGGTGATATCTTATTGTCTAACATTTCTTCTTTAAAACCTCTTGCTCCGTTTTACACATTATAACTTTCCTAAATAAAACTGTGAAACATAAATATCATATGTGTTTTATGATAAACGATTCATGTATGGTTTTGAACAATATTCAGTTTTCCACGAAACCATTCTGTCTATTAAGTGTTGATCAGTTATCAGCGAATCTGTTTTACACACGAATGCATCGCAACACGACCTTAAAGCATTATAGACCGTCTAATTTCTAAACAATCCGGCACACAATGAGTTAAAATGATGTGTTTTCTGTCGCCTAATCAATAGTCTCCAGTGTATTTTTAAAAGGTAACTTTTTAAAATTAATTTAAACCTGATATGTTTTATGTGTAGGCAAACAGTTTTGTTGTGTGTCTTTGAAGTTCGGATGAAGTTATTGACCGAAGGGTTGAGTTTGATAATGGATAGAAGGCTGCACATACAGCAGGGGTATAAATAGTACTTGGGTGTACTTTTCATACTGACGGTAACTCACCTTGGTATGAATAATATAACTGAATTGTTTTAGAATACTTGTGTTTATTGACATTGAAACTACAAATAATAAGTAGACATTGTTTATCGTGTTCATGACATGCAGTCATTTCATATACAATTTATGAATGGATTTAAATTGCGAATTCCCGAAATAAAGAACTGGTGTTCAGTAGTTTAAAAAGACGAGGCAGTATAGTAGTATTTAATAACTGTAAAAATAAATCACGTTCGTCTCGTCATAAGTTATACCGACTTATATTAAATCTCTTGTCGGTCCATATAGGCGTGGGGGAAACACATAATCGTGAAAGTGAAACCTCCAATCTTTTCCGGTCGAGGAATCAAACTTATTTGTCACACCTTGGAATGGGGTTTGAATCCATTCGGCTGATTCCATGCCTACAGCAATGAACGGTGGAGGATACTGGAATCAGCCGAAAGGATTCTAACCCCGGTCGAAGATATGTGAAATATGTTATTTTGCAGCAGGTGTCTCTAGTTTCCAAAAGTAGTATGTGCAGTGTTTCTTACTAACCGATTGTTTAAGTCTCGACTCGTTAGGTATTTTTTGTCAAATTTGTTTTTGGCGTTTGTCAGTCATTCTGACCATATTATGCTGTGTGTAGAAGGAACTCTGCAATTTCCTAAATAACGATTAAGGAATTTCGAATCGAAAAACAAAAACTTTTGGAGATGGTTTAATGATGTGTGTCACATTTTGTCATCGAATTTCCAAATGGAAGGCAACGTTCTGGTGACATTGACACCATTTTACGATATTACAACAGCAAACAACACCCCCGTTATATAGATGTACGTGTAGATATGGAGCGCGCGACCATTGCTTTGACGTGTGTGATAGCAATAGTCTCGTCAGACCGGGGTTCCGGTCCAGGATTATGACATAATAGCGATCTGGGCATGGAGTAAGGGTACAGAATCACGGACGATGGACATAAATCAACACAATTATATGTCAGTCCGATCATCATAGGATGGCGATTGATCGCATTGTCAGAATTACACTCGATATTATCTCCCCATATCAACGTTTACCTCGATTTATTTATACTTTATGGTGGTGGACGGCGGTCCGTAAACGAGTTGGGAACACCATTGGTTTTACATAAACCCCGATAACGAATCCGTATCCGATGACGGGACTGTCGCGTAATTGTGGACGCGGATTACACACATAAATCATATGTCGTTTTATACATTCAGAGCACAATCATCTTTTATTCTCATCGTTAATACCTAAAAGCTTTGGGCTTTTTGTTCTTATCTGCACTTGGGTAAATTGATGTGAAACAGAAATATATATCTGCAAAATACGTAGTCGTTCTTTTATATATATATAATGACTGCACTTGAAGGTTTATTTCACTTTGAATCCAAAGACAACACTTTGAAATGACTTCATTAGATATCTTGGAAAGCTGACAAACAGGTTTGCACACTGATAGATCTGAACCATACACGGTGGAATGTCTCAGAAAGTCTTGTAAACAATAAGACCCCGGATACCTTAACGTCAACGACTATCAAAATTTGACTATTGGCCAATGGATTCAGAAAAAGCTCTCACCAATACGGAGGTTATCTGTTTTACCGCACTGGTGTGAACCAGTGGCCAGAACTACCTCGACCATGCTCCAAGTTCTCAAATGGTATCCAAGATTAACCGTCTTGACCACGCCCCCTCCGCCGCACAAAATACAAAAAAAAATAGCATTTAAGCTATGATTTTTGTTTTTAATCAATTTAAAGGAGAGGAGAGAACATCGTTTTCTTTTCTTCGTACTTTCGTTGGTCTTAAAAAGTAGTAAGAAGCTCTGTGACTTCCAGGATACAGATAGACAATAGATTATATCGGCAACACTTTGTAGGATAGGATTACCCTGAGTATATATGGGATACGGAGAAAGTTGAAGGGACTTCCGGTTTCTTGCTTTTATTCTACAAGCTGTTCTTTATCATATGTTTTCGCTCTATCGTTCTATATCAATTTCATGATACAATCTCATTCCTTATTTCGAACTTCACAAAACTATAAAACCGTATGAATCAAAAAAGTTTACAGCTGTGGCAGCTGAAATAATGTTTTAATAGTCAGAGAGCTGAGTTTAAATGTTTGAAATCAGTCTAACATTTAATGCATAAAGGTAATAATGATGTGACGCTGGTCTTTGGAAACATGATTAATCATCACTGTGTTTTCAGCAACAAAATTCTAATCCTAATTTATCCTGATGATTCATAACATAGTCTTTATATGCAAAATAGGTCTGTATATTTTAAAGGTATATGTAGATATGCCTGTTATAAATGACATGTTTGTGTTTGTTGTCTCATTTCAACAAGATCGCTTATATCGAAATCGACATCAATGTTATAATGTTTCGCGTTTTGTTACGATTTATCTCACCAAACAACCCATTGTAATTTGACGTTTTTGTTTCCCAGGAGACTGGACAGACCCCCCTAATGGTGGTGGTTAAGGAGAATAAGCTAGTGGTAGCTGAGAGACTTCTAGACCTTGGAGCACAGATCAACGAACGCGCTAAGGTACATGTATAGCTTGTTTGATATTATTTGTTAATCAGGTTTACAGGAATGACGACGTTGTTAACAAATAACATATATGTGTTCTAATGCGAATGTGGAGAGATTTGAATAGGAATGGTGAATACTAAATAGAGAGTTTGTTTTGGGGGAGAAATACCTGATGTGTCAGGTATCAAATGTAAGTATGCATAAAACGCCTCACGACTTCATCAACAACTAAATGTACAAATGTTTAAAGAAAAAAAATCACTCCATAAAATTACCAGGTTAATTCTGTAACAAAGTCGTTTCCTGTTTGTTTATTAGTTACAAGTTAAGTGTTACGACGTTAAATATTAATCAGCCTGGCACCATTACACTATTAATCCTGTATCCTGTCATGTTTGGGATAGTAGTTTTACTTGTAGGTAAATAGATCTGAGTGTTCATTCGTCCGTGTTATGTCTATATCAGTAGCCTTGTACGGAGTCAATGCAATAAAATTGTCTTGAACTGATTAAGTATGGATACCCCATATTTGTAAGATGATTAATGTGGGAGAATGACAGTTCAAACTACACCCTCTAACCTTTACAAATGGTGGACTAAAACATTGGTTACTTTCTGCACATTAAAACAAATGCGAAACAGACTTTTTTCCGTTTTACTTCGTAAATTGACTATTAAAAGGACCGAATGTATCTCATAAAAGGGATAATTTATTAAATCTAGGTACAGGAATCCATCCATAACCTAATTTGAATCTATAATTTAAATACAATTTGCATTTGGTGGATCGAATATCTTCAGTAATTCCCAGAAAGACGACACTATTTCTAGTGTTTGTCGGAAACTCGCGTATTGTATCGACATTGGGTATAGTGATGCTGGCAGCGGTATAGTATATGTGTATTTAGCTGTTAATATGTCCTTGTGTGATGTTGACAAATAAACAAGCGATAAGAATTGATCAGCACTGTCACACAGGTGGAAATAGCCAGTTAAAGGTTTATCTTGTCTACTGTAAGCTGTCTACTTAAACTAATAATTGTCACGGATTTACACACAATAATAATATCGTAGGTTGGGCTTAACTGTCAATGTACATCGGTATATAAAAACTTACAGAATAGAGAGCCACGGAAGATTACAATGTCCTTCCCTTGATAAGTACTGTCCACCTGTTCGATTTTGCCTAATTAAGATTGTATGTGCCATTACAACAATGTCTATCATAGGGTACCACTTCATGAAAAATTAAGGTAATTGAAATTTTTTTTGGTCAAAATTGTCGCTTCTTAACCAGATTTCAAAAACGGTAAAATCTCCAGACATTGTACAAATCTTTGGACGCATTTTTATCCATATGGTTTTCAAATAAACCATGGTTTGCCTCCCGTGGAAGTTTACTCTCTTGATGATTCTTTGTAAGAGATGAATATTGTTTAGCGCCAGGAATAGCTTGCAGACTGCAACGTATCAGAACCTATAATTCCAACTCAAGGTCACAAGTTGAGGACAGAGGTCATTTAATATTTTCTTTGTCCAAACAAGCTGTAGTATGTTTATAATTTTTTTCATATATGTAAGCGAAACAACAAGTAAAAACACAAGTCTGTCGAGTGGCCGAGAGCAACGATATCTCTGGTATGACAATTCAGGACCTTACCAACTGACCCAAAACAGCATGCTGCGTCAGTTGAGTGACAAATACCGTAATTAACACTATATAAATTTTGTGTGTGCATGTATACCCTAAATGACACAAGATATGAAAACTTTTAATAATATCTGTGAAGTAATGTCTGTTATGACGTCAGTAGGAACCAAAGCCTCTTATTCAGGGTCCTAATATTCATTATGCTCTTATATCAAATGCCGTTGATTAGGTACTAGAACCCAGTTTCGAAGTTGACTTCCATCACACGGATCAAACATTGCTGCTATTAATTACCATATTTTTTGTGTTTTCCAAAACAAAAACATTAATATGAGAGGATTGAAGATAACACAGGTGAGCCTATTCCCGGGAGAGTTGGTATATCAGTCAAGCGTGTCACCGATGGGAGGTACAGGACATATATTGAAGCATGAAAACCGATATCTCATCTACCATATGGCCTCATTATATTTTCCTCTTGTTTTAGAAATGAATTTGTTGGCAACGCGGTGATGTATGTCACTCGACATTTGATGTTAGAAATTAAATAAACTCATCAATTCTAGGTAAAATTTTGTTAGCGATATGTTTAAATATCAAGGTAAGCGATGTAGTAAATTTCATTTTGTTAATTCTCGGCCAGCGTTGTGGTGGTTATGCCGAACTCGTTAGAGCAGTATAAATATTGGTTGTTTCCCTGCTGCCTGGATGGGAGCTAATTACTACCATTGATTTCCCACTTACGTCATAAGAATTTAAACACTTAGCCGCTGTTTATGGAATATCTCTCGATCTCAATTCCGCTGTTTACATACTTTCTGTGTAGAATTTTCAAGTAGTATTAGTGCAAATAATGCTCTTAAAAAAGGGAGAAAAAACGCTCAACTGAAAAAACAGTAAAAATAAAAGTCATTGTTGAAAAGTATGCTTGAGAAAGCAGATCGAAATATAGGCCTATAATTATTTTTATGTGAGAATAATAAAAAAATGAGATATTGATGAACAAACCATTGTAATGCAATGTCAATGGCTCACGGGATAATGGAATGTTGTATTTGCTTGTTTGGGTGTTATATCTACAACGTCCACAGATGATGACACTATAACGGACGCTTTAACACTATCATCACACTGAAATGGCAGAATGGGACAATGATACACAGGCAAGGGTATGATAATGATACACAGGCAAGGGTATGATAATGGTACACAGGCAAGGGTATGATAATGGTACACAGGCAAGGGTATGATAATGGTACACAGGCAAGGGTATGATAATGATACACAGGAAAGGGTATGATAATGATACACAGGCAAGGGTATGATAATGGTACACAGGCAAGGGTATGCTAATGATACACAGGCAAGGGTATGATAATGGTACACAGGCAAGGGTATGCTAATGATACACAGGCAAGGGTATGCTAATGATACACAGGCAAGGGTATGATAATGGTACACAGGCAAGGGTATGATAATGGTACACAGGCAAGGGTATGATAATGGTACACAGGCAAGGGTATGCTAATGATACACAGGCAAGGGTATGGTAATGGTACACAGGCAAGGGTATGATAATGGTACACAGGCAAGGGTATGCTAATGATACATAGGCAAGGGTATGATAATGGTACACAGGCAAGGGTATGATAATGATACACAGGCAAGGGTATGATAATAGTACATGGACAAGTGTAAGGCAATGGTACACGGACAAGTGTAAAACAAAACTACACGGACAAGTGTAAAACAGCGGTACACAGACCAGTGTAAAACAGCGACACACAGGCAAGTGTAAAACAGCGGTACACAGACAAGTGTAAAACAGCGATGCACAGACAAGTGTAAAACAGCGACACACCGAAAAGTGTTAAACAGCGACACAACGAAAAGTGTTAAACAGCGGTACACCGACAAGTGTAACACAGCGGTACACAGACAACTGTAAAACAGCGACACACCGAAAAGTGTTAAACAGAGACACACCGAACAGTGTTAAACAGCGGTACACCGACAAGTGTAAAACAGCGGTACACAGACAACTATAAAATAGCGACACACAGACTAGTGTAAAACAGTAACACTGGTCACTATTTACTTTATGTTGGTTACTCTATAAATATACAATACAAATCACGTGAAGCAGAGAGAAATTAATTGTGACCGGTACTTACGAGTTCTATACTGATGATGTTGGGAGGTGTAAACATATATACGAACGTGTATGATATCACCCATTGTTTGTAATGATATGTCAACAGTTGTACATTTTTGTCATAATCCTACAGTTTATCATCAGGGCTCACATTCTGTGTCTATAGAGGGAACCTTGCACACCCAGACACTGTGATAAATATCGAGTGTTTATATTTCTGTTACAATAGTACGAACAACATCACCACAGGAAGTCTGAAATCACAGAAACGTTTTTTTGCTTGTTGTTTCGGCAGAAATCAATTAATTTGCTACATATTTGATCGAGAGTACCCAGAGCGTTAGAAACTGCAAACAGAAAGTCATTGATTTATTTCTCTTATCCTAACACTGAAATAAGTGGATTTCGGGTACAGTCCGGGACAATACATTTATTCTATGTTATTACAACAAAGATCCTATTTTACATATAACAGTCCTTATCTATCTAATTGTAAGCACAATTTTCTCCGCGCATGAACATTTACGAACGTTTTTTATGGTCTTGACCCGAGTTTGGTTATTAATGTCCTAAATTTGAAATATATTTTAAAACAAATTATAACGGAAAACAGCCGTTCAGATTAGTTTAAATAGTTTTCTACATTGTATGATGCTTTCAGACTTAGATGCTGTTAGCTAATTCACACCGATTTTATATATTTAATCATGACAATGAGATGTGATTGTCCTAACCTATAATAATGGGATTACATGTTCTGATTCATCATATGAAGACTTGGTGAGTGAACACTTCGCAGTAATATCTAAGGGTTTAAGTTTGTAATGATAAGACTAAGTATCATTAATTAAAACCAAAATCCAAAATCCAAGATAACAAAAGTTAGCGCCTTTAACAATTACAGTGAAAAATATTCCATTTTTCCCAGAGTGCATTGCGGTTAATTGTGACGAGAACGACAACTCTTGTAGACGTTAACTGTTACTTGGTAGTTGGATGAAAACTACAGAAACGTCTTGCATGGTCCTTGAACAATCTACCGGTATGTTTCCGTGTCAGCTGGAACACCTAATAGGTTATTTGGTGCTTCCGGAAGCATTTCGCATTACTTCATCAAATCTACAGAAAAAAAATCGAAAACACTCACACATAAATTAGAGATTGTATAGAAATATTGATGGAACGTGTAGCGTGTAGTAACATTCCTGTTGATACAGAGAGTCTAAATTTCATGAAGATATGATTATTAAAATTCCATATAACTACTGAATACTGTTAATTAAAAAAATGGCCGAACTGTTGCTTTGACAATAAGCGTTCTGGCTTAACCTAGTTATTTAATCAGGTTATGTATTATGCTTGTATCTGTATATATGGCAACTACCCACGGAAGGCTGTACAGTTGAGTTGGTGCAGAGCACAATGCTGATGGGGAACAGATTTAATTACATGTGATCCTATTGGTTTTGCACTGCTGCACAAATAAATCAACTCATTATGTCCATCCGTCATACTGTCGGAATAAAGCGGACGATATTTGCTCACCAATGTAGCTGACAAAGGTAACATTGTCGCTCTTTTCATTTGCATAGTAGACAGATTGTACTTGCGTCGAGTGCATTTTGATGTTACGAGTAGGATATGAAGTTACATGTTAGAACCACGATCTGTCCTGGTCATTAACTGTGATTGGCGCTGATGAGCCTGACCGACCGTAATATACGCATAAAAGGTAGATGTTTGTGGACAATGCAGTTCACATAGAAGCTTTGAGTCATTCAGATGTCTTATTTGTTATTTGATGGAAAGTGGAACCGACGAGAGATCATCCGTGTTATACGCTAGTCGGCCTGCTCGTGAGTTATCTCCCTTATCTAATGGGCAATACTCATGAATTAGCTCCATTGTTAAATGGTCGAGAGTGGTGCTCATAGGCAACCTTTCCAAATACGATGCGGAGTGTTTTTTTTAGTTATCACTATTGTTTTATCTATAATGCTCATTAGTTTGCCTGGCGGTGCTTGTTCGTTTTGGTTTTGCCTTGTTCTCATTTGTGATGTTACTTACTTGGATTGTCTAAGATTTACATGGTGGATATATCATCGATGAAACTCTATTCCGGAAGACCTTGACTTATTCTCCGGACATCGGACATGAGTTTGAATCACGATTCTGTTTGACACATTGACATTTTCTTTGTTGTTCTTGTTACACAACGGAGTGTTATAGTTATTATTTATCACAAAGTCTAGCCTAGTCTCTCTCTCTCTCTCTCTCTCTCTCTCTCTCTCTCTCTCTCTCTCTCTCTCTCTCTCTCTCTCTCTCTCTCTCTCTCTCTCTCTCTCTCTCTCTCTCTCTCTCTCTCTCTCTCTCTCTCTCTCTCTCTCTCTCTCTCTCTCTCTCTCTCTCTCTCTCTCTCTCTCTCTCTCTCTCTCTCTCTCTCTCTCTCTCTCTCTCTCTGGCGCTGTGTTATTTATGTACTTATATCAGTACACACGTGTGTTTGTATCTAATTCTTCGGAAACATTTCAGTCTTTGACGATAAAATCATTCTCGATTCTCCAGTGTTCACGCTACTGTCGATGTCAATACAGTGCTACTCAATATCGCTCTCTTTAATGAGCGACTCAATATCGCTCTCTTTACTGAGCGGCTCAATATCGCTCTCTATACAGGGCAGCTCAATATCGTTCTCTGCACTGAGTGGCTCAATATCGCTCTCTTTACTGAGCAGCTCAATATCGCTCTTTTACTTAGCGGCTTACTATCGCTTTCTGCATAGAGTGGCTCAATATCGCTTTCTTTACTGAGCGGCTCAATATCGCGCTCTTTACTGAGCGGCACATTATTGCTCTCTTTAATGAGCGGCTCAATATCGCGCTCTTTACTGAGCGGCTCACTATCGCTCTCTTTACTGAGCGGCTCAATATCGCTCTCTTTACTGAGCGGCTCAATATCGCTCTCTTTACTGAGCGGCTCAATATCGCTCTATTTACTGAGCGGCTCATGAGCAGAGAGCGGCTCAGTATCGCTCTCTTTACTGAGCGGCTCAATATCGCTCTCTTTGCTGAGCGGCTCAATATCGCTCTCTTTACCTAGCGGCTTACTATCGCTCTCTACTCTGAGCGGCTCAATATCGCTCTCTTTACAGAGCGGCTCAATATCGCTCTCTTTACTGAGCTGCTCACTATTGCTTTCTTTACTGAGCGGCTCAATATCGCGCTCTTTACTGAGCGGCACACTATCGCTTTCTTTACTGAGCGGCTCGATATCGCTCTCTGCATAGAGTGGCTCAATATAGCTCCCTGCACAAAGCGGCTCAATATTGCTCTCTGCATAGAATGCCTCATTATCGCTCTCTACAGAGGACGATAGTAAGTGTAACCCCTGGAGAACCTACGATTTGATAAAATGGGTATTTCGATCAGGTCTTGTGTGATTTATCAACTATTGCGTATAAAACAAAATTTCATACAAAGTAAACACAAATGTCAAATAAAAAGAAACAAATTCCTTAACACACGTTTAATTGGCGTCAATTTAGGTGATATTTGTCTGATCAGACTAAGAAAGGATACATGGAGACATTCATTCATTGTATCAATACTGGTCGCAAGACAATTATGGGAAGGACAACAAAATACAGTTTACCTTAAATCTTAGGTTCTGACAAAATAATCAATAATCAATCAAAAGGAATAAATATTACAATAATGTTTGGTGTGAATGTTACACAATCACATCGCCATAATTACCGGGGTAGAGATGAAATTTCCAGCTGTGCAGGTTCATATTGTCAGAACTTTGATACTCGGCTGAATATTTACTTACACAAATCAACTTTAAAAAGATCACAGACTGTGTTCCTTTTGACCGAAGTATTGATGTTACAACGGAAAGGAAATGTCAAATAGATTCCGAGATAATGCCTGATCGACAGAATCGATGAATAAACACGACTGGTGGTAGACGCACGACGCTTGTCCAGGATGTCGCGACTCCGGGAGGATAAATCTGTGTTAATCCACAGACTAAAAGTGTCGGAGTTTAAACAACACCGTTACTCCGGCAAACTCCAAGTATACCTATTCCTTACTTGTCATATATTGAATCGATTTGATGTAATGAAAATAAAACCAAAAACAAAGAAGGAGAAGAAGATAATAATAATAATAAAATCTTAAAAATAGGTTAATAAATAAAAACAAAACAAAAACCTCATTTATTCAGTCGCCAAAGTCTTCGGTATGTTTTTGTGTAATGCACAGGTGAAAGAATTGATTGGGCTTCAGCCAACAAGCACGATATTGGCAGATACACTTTAAATCACTTCATGTCGTTGTCAAAGTGCTAATTATATGACATTTTTATTGTTACAATTAATTACCTCTTCCTATTTTTATCACTTAAGGACAATTAAAAGGACTTATCGCCCATTTTGTAATGCCAGCACGTAGCTCGCATGCATGCAGAATTATCGTGATTTTAGGCACATGTAATGTAATGTGGAAAATAACTACTGACAGGTAATTTGCTGTTATTATTTAATCAAAATATGACAGATGGAAGTTTGACAGTTACGTTGTCTGCCTGGATAACAATAGAACGACCTAATGCCAATCGTAAAAGTTATTTGCGGAGTTTAAAGTAACATAATGTTTTTTAATTTCCCCTGGCGTAGCTTCGCAAGCAGTTGGGGTTCGAGCCAAAATAGCACTGCAGTATTAGAGATCCTTTGCGAATGAAGACTTGGTATACCAAATATTATTATCATCGTTATTATAACATTCTTTACGGCCCGTCAACACATAAAAGGTCATTAGGGTCATCCGCAATGTGTTCCTCATATTTTAAATCAAGACAATCAACAGTCACTTGGTAATTATAATCGGTAAGACTGCGGTTCTCGTACCGTTGGCTTCAAGTCGGCATTGTCTAATATGAATTGGTCGGTAACGGTTAAATTAACTGACACTCATCTTCCTAGACATATTCAATTTCAAGCGCACTGTCGCAAACAAAAGTTTGATTTGGTGAACATAATGAGAAAACGTTTGTTGCTCTCGAAGTCAGTCATTAGCAACCAACATATCAATGCTAGCTCAATGTTTCAAAACATACAAAATTGTGTCAATTATACGGAACGAAAATCTCGCTCTGATAAAATCTGAGATTCCCCCGTTCCATTTTTCCGGACATGTGTTCTGCAATTTGCAATCAGGGTACAAAACAACGAGATTCCCGCCGATGAAAAATAAATAAAAAAAACAACTGTTTCTATCAAAAGACCGACGGATCAGTGTATACCGTTAAAATGATTTCCAATCTTCCTAATTTTGATTCAGGACCACTAGCTATTATCCACTACTGTAGCTATTAACTATTAACTGGCATGGTTTCAGGACGATCGGACCGCCCTCCATTTTGCTGCAGCCTTTGCCAAAGATGACGTAGTACGACTCCTTATCAACAGGAAAGCAGATGTCAACTTACCGGGAGGGGTAAGGCATTCTTTATAGCCTGGTCATATTGTCCGAACTACACTCTCTTAATACACGTTCTCATCCACATTAAACAGTAATCATATGTGTAGCCCGACGTTTTACAGGATTCTGGCAATACAGATTTTAAACCGAATTTTATAAACTTGTATGATTTTGAATGTAATCTTTGTTAAACTTTTGTCAATTCCATGTGGCATTCATGTCTTCTGTAAATGTAAATAGAGGTCAGTTTCTCTCAGGTACTTGCATATGGTTGTCTAATAATTATAACTTCAGGAATATATATATGTTTTGTACTAATTGTGCTAATCAAAACAAGTCATACTGGAATTCAAACATGTTGTTTCGTTGGTCAATATTAATGATAGTCTAATTAGATTAATAAATACTGTAGGGGCTTTCAGTTATTGGTACTGTAAAATTAATCTATTTACTGATGATAAAAGAACTTTCATGTTGCATAATTAAAAAAACCATTACCAATTAACTGGTCAAGAACAGAACTGTCCTATATATAGTTTAAGTACACGGTAACGTCAATATCGATTGTTTATATTAGATAATAAAAGCATTTAAATAAAAAAAAATGTTGAACAACTGTATCGTGTCTGTTTAACATTACTACATTCATTCAAATCAGACATAATTAAGGCTGGTAAATTTTCACCTACGTCACACCTTAAGTTGGTTGGCAGGTAAGTCAAGTGTTTGAATCATACACAAAGCTTGAGTCTTCCAACAGCTTTACAGCAATTCATATCAATATATATTTTTTAGGTATGTAATCAAAGTATAACTTCATTGAATATTGTTGATGTTCAACAGTTGTTGTGTTTTAGTCTTCTATTCATAAAATTTTTATTTCAAGAGTTTTACAAGATTTTGTGTTTGGTTTTGCTGTATTAAGCTAGAGAGGCTGGTCAAATGGAATCAAGTAGAATCAGGACAGGTACTCCAAATTACTTTAATTTATGGCCAGCTGCCATATGTTGACTGACAGTCCTTTAAACTGTCCACAGGATACAGGAAGAGGGCCACACCATACCACACATGTTACTCTCCCACAGCTATTTAACATTCCAGTCTAATATTGGCGGTAGTCACATTCCTGGTTTGTTGGTAACCTGCAAGTGAAAAGAAAACATTACAGGAATGATAACATCTGCATGGCCTGTCTCCTCATCAGATCCGGCTCGTGTCTGGACGCCCTGTGGGGTAGAAAATCTCAAAAGCTTTGTACTTTATGTATTTGAGAATCATTGCAATATTTGCAGTTCTCATTTGTCTCATAGACACGTTTTCAAAATAATAACAGATTGAATTATAAAACCTGGTAACATGTTTGTTTGGATTTAATGAAAAGTCACATCAATGCCTCCATACTCTCACCTGATTCTAGAAGGGGCAACAACAGTCGATTGATTCTGACGGGCATTGTTTAGCACTGACATAGATTGGTAAAACTTCCTTACAAGGACCAACATATCCTTCCTAGTGATATTTCTTTGTAAATATATATTTTACATCTCCAAACATGTTTTTTGATGAGAAATATCTTACATCTACTTTTTTTAACATCAGAATATAAGTTTACCGGTTTCTCAGGAAAATCCCTCACAAACAAACCTGCAGTTACATTATCAATAGTGTAGTAGTTTTGTGTAACTTGAGCCGCAGTTTTCCTATTGATTTAGATACTACAGCTAGTGTTAGATTGTTTAAACCTCATACAGGTATGTATTGCTGGCATATGAACCCTTCGTTTTAATGGTAAAACTATGTTTTAACTTCCTGTGGTCAGCTATACCTGTACCAATATTTCCTACCTGTATATTTTGGTTGAAATCTTACTGTTATTGTATATATCTCATGTTTTTTTTCTAAAGTCATTAAATCTTTAAATTTCATCACAACTATCCAACAATAAGAAATTCAGTACCTGTCCATGTTTCCAATTTTCACCTCGGTTACACTCCTCTTACCACATACATCTGTACCTATAAATACCTGTGTTACACTACCCTTACCACACACATCTGTACCTATAAATCCCTGTTACACTATCCTTACCACACACATCTGTACCTATAAATACCTGTGTTACACTACCCTTACCACACACATCTGTACCTATAAATACCTGTGTTACACTCCCCTTACTACACACATCTGTACCTATAAATACCGTGTTACACTACCCTTACCACACATGTGTATCTATAAATACCTGTTACACTACCGTTACCACATACATCTGTACCTATAAATACCTGTGTTACACTGCCCTTACCACACACATCTGTACCTATAAATACCTGTGTTACACTTCCCTTACCACACACATCTATACCTATAAATACTTGTGTTACACTACCCTTACCACACACATCTGTACCTATAAATACATGTGTTACACTACCCTTACCACATACATCTGTACCTATAATACCTGTGTTATCCTACCTTTACCACACATCTGTACCTATAATACCTGTGTTATCCTACCTTTACCACACATCTGTACCTATAATACCTGTGTCATCCTACCTTTACCACACATCTGTACCTATAATACCTGTGTCATCCTACCTTTACCACACATCTGTACCTATAATACCTGTGTCATCCTACCTTTACCACACATCTGTACCTATAATACCTGTGTCATCCTACCTTTACCACACATCTGTACCTATAATACCTGTGTCATCCTACCTTTACCACACATCTGTACCTATAATACCTGTGTCATCCTACCTTTACCACACATCTGTACCTATAATACCTGTGTCATCCTACCTTTACCACACATCTGTACCTATAATACCTGTGTCATCCTACCTTTACCACACATCTGTACCACACACCTTTACCACACATCTGTACCTATAATACCTGTGTCATCCTACCTTTACCACACATCTGTACATAATACCTGTGTCATCCTACCTTTACCACACATAATAATACCTGTGTCATCCTACCTTTACCACACATCTGTACCTATAATACCTGTGTCATCCTACCTTTACCACACATCTGTACCTATAATACCTGTGTCATCCTACCTTTACCACACATCTGTACCTATAATACCTGTGTTATCCTACCTTTACCACACATCTGTACCTATAATACCTGTGTTATCCTACCTTTACCACACATCTGTACCTATAATACCTGTGTTATCCGACCTTAACCACACATCTGTACCTATAATACCTGTGTTATCCTACCTTTACCACAAACCTATACCTATAGATTCCTGTGGTATCAGTAACTCCATCAATATTCCCACCACTGCTCTCTCCTCCTACATCCTTCTCTGAAACAGTCTAGGTACACTTATTAGTTGAATAAATTGATTTATTGTGATTGTCAGTTATTTTTTAATTGCCCAGCCATTATTGGTTGATGAATCAATGTTTAAGATAAAGTTCGAAGTGTAGAGTCAGCCTGACAAAATCCGGTTCTTTAGTGTTATTGTATATATAATGAAAAGATATAGGTATTTAGAAAACACATTGATATTATAACTTGATAGGGGAAAAGTCATATCTTGGTTAAATAAAACATCCAGGTTACTATTGATTTCCATAGCATAAATGTCAAGTAGAATTTTTTCACACAAAATATAACAATTAATGGTATGGTTCTGTAATGGAAATTGTCATGTGCCTTGTAGACTAGACTTAATGCTATCTCTGAGGATATTTTGTTTGACTGGTTAAAAAAAGCAAAAAAAAAACAAGAAGATAAAATTGATAAGAAAAAAAAAACTCAGCTGTCTAAGATGTGTTGTAGAACCGCATGCAGCCAGATATTTTAGGGAGCAATGTGATTTAATTGCACCCAAAGCAATCAAGATAAGGTTATCTTTTTTAACCTGAAAGTAAGTAAATCCTTGACAAGCATGTCAACATTGCAAAGTATGAGATTAACATCATATTCAGTAAAGGAGAATACATTCAGTGAGTAAAGAATTAGTCCACAAGTACCTGGTAGTGTAATTATATAAATAACAATTGTCTATTGTAGTCGTTCATTTGTCCTAGCGCTGACAACAAATACATTTACCTAACATCAATAATAGGGTAAACATTTACAATCTGACAATAATTTGAGGCACATAAATTACCCCAGTTAATTTAACGGAGGAAAAATATCAATTTTCACTAATGTATTGACCAAAGCACTGAAAATCAGATAAATACAGCACTGTTTACTGTATTACAATACAACAAAACATTTCAGGGTTGGGTTCCTTTTTCTTTGTTATAATGTTTCTATAATTCTATTTTCTTTATTTATGATTTTCCCATGAATATAGTCAGAATATTGAGCACCCATCATACATCTAATAATATCACTTTCCATGCTAAATGATCACTAGATATGGTTGAATTGTCATCAAGTTTTCCTAAAGCCATAACAGAACAGCCACCAGCCATCAATGAGAATGTTGAGGTTTAAAGGTCATAATTCTTAAAAAATTGCTTATGCATGATATTATGTCACTGAAAGCAACAGAGTTACCATATTGCTTTAAAATCAGCCTTCAGAAGTTGTTTTATATACATTGTATTTACTTATGTATATCTCTCTAGGTTTCCTCCACAAACTCTTAGCTGCAGATAACCATCTACATAACATACATGGCCTTATGGGATTTCTTGATTGAATAAAAATGTATTCTATTTTGTCATTGACAGCCTAAGGGCCAGTTGCCCTTACATATGGCGTGTGCTCGATCTAGTGGAGCAGTCACTGTAGTCCAACTACTACTCAAAGCTTCCAACAAAGATGGCCGTCTTTTCCCAGACAAGGTAAGAGTTAATAAAAGAATGAGATATCACAGTTATTTTTTTAATTAGGTTATTGAAATATCATAATATTTCTAAACTAGAAAAGAATGCCACAGGACAGAACAATATAAGTCTGTCTCATGCCTATGTATGTCTTATAAATCAGCTGTCACATAGAGAGGTTTGTTTCCATTGGTTGACACTTCAGGCTTCAATAATACATGCATAATTTATAATAGATGTACATGTATGTCATCATATTCATTTTTCTATTTTTCACTCTGAAAGGTATATAATGTTGCTTCTATGATATATCAGAATGAAACTGAAAATATGAGCCTTCACAATCATTGATTACTGCACTAAATAAAACCCACCATGTTTAAAAGTGACAGGTTGAATATGATATCACATGATAGTATTAAATTTCTGAAAAAAAAAGAAAGTGATATAACTCTTCTGAAAACTTAACAAAACTTAGGTTTACCATGAAAATTTTTGTGCTTTTAGAATGGTGCCATACCCCTGTTCCTGGCTGCAGAGGCTGGCAATGTGGCTGTGTGTAAGGAACTGCTGTATCAACATGCTGACCAACAACTTAAGATGCAGCGGAAGGTATGCACTGTGGTTAAAGAAATATTTGAAAATCTATCACTTATAAACTGTGATATTCAAGTCCTGTAAACTCCCATCAGCTGAACAGTTGACCATATACTTTCTGAATATATACACAGTCTTAATCTTTTTGACATACATTGTGTGTACTAGATCTTTCAAAATATATACTATACTTAGGTTGTGTTGACCACAAATACTCCACAATTCTACAAATTATATTTGACTTCTATACTTTCCACATTAATACCTGGCAATAAGTCTATTGTTTATAAGTGAAAAGAGACTGGACAATGAAACAGAGGCACAGCCATTGTGATATTGTTCCTATGTGTGAAAGAGCCTAATGAAACATCTTTAATCTGAAAGAGTATGGAACATCAGATCAAATTAAAAAGGATGCTGGACTTTGTAGAGGTCATATTAGACATTGGCAAATTTTGTTACCTACATGTGTGTTTACCTGTTGGTAGGACAATGGGGATACAGTGCTACACATCTCCTGTCGCCGACGAGACCTAGATTTCGCCAAGATGTTAGTCGACTCAGGTGCACCAGTAGACACCATGAATGTAAGGTTGATTTAGGATCTCCGTACTTCTATCAGTGTCAGTTATAATAATACATCTGATATTGCAATATATTGAACATCCAGAAATAACCGTAAATCAGATGTAAAATTCAAAGAACTTTATAAGAAAAAAACCCTGCATGTTAGAAATATTTTCAGATAATTATGAGGTATATTATTGGAGAGATGGTTATTTCCAAAGTATGATTAGCACCGTTGATACACAAACAAAACTTGCTTTCAAAATTTCTTGAATAAAAAGATATCAAAGTTTCCTAAAAAGAAACATGTACATTTAAATATATTTGTTACTTTTTAATTCAAATTTGTTTTTGAAATCTGAGTGACCATCAGATTCTCAGCATCAGCTGAATGATAGTGGACAATTCAGTATACACATAGATGAATTATGAAATGATGTATTGGTTCTTGACAGGATGAGAAACAGACTCCCCTCCACTTAGCTGCCTGGGAGGGTGATGAACAGATGGTGAAATATTTGTATCAGATGAAGGCAAACCCCAACCTCACTGACAAGGTAAGACAGGCACTCTGAGACACCTGGGATTCAGTGGGATGTTAAACTACCATCTCAACAATGTTCCTCCTCTTTGTATTAAATTCCATTCCATTTAACTATCAAGATGTAAACTTCATCCTTCCTCACACCAATGTAAGGAAGTATGTTTCATCCTTCCTAGAACCATTTAGCAATTAGTTAGTAAATTTCATTCTTCCTAAAACTACTTAAGTATCAGTTAGTAAATTTCATTCTTCCTAAAACCACTTAAGTATCAGATAGTAAATTTCATTCTTCCTAAAACCGCTGAAGTATCAGATAGTAAATTTCATTCTTCCTAAAATTGCTTAAGTATCAGTTAGTAAATTTCATTCTTCCTAAAACTGCTTAAGTATCAGATAGTAAATTTCATTCTTCCTAAAACCGCTTAAGTATCAGATAGTAAATTTCATTCTTCCTAAAACCACTTAAGTATCAGATAGTAAATTTCATTCTTCCTAAAACCACTTAAGTATCAGATAGTAAATTTCATTCTTCCTAAAACTGCTTAAGTATCAGATAGTAAATTTCATTCTTCCTAAAACCACGTAAGTATCAGATAGTAAATTTCATCCTTCCTAACTCCTTAAACTACTATGATATACACTTTTTACTTCTGAACATCATAAAATTATCAGAAAGTTAATATCAACACTTCTATATAAATGAAAAATCAGCTCTCCTAGCATCATCAGAATATTAGGACTGAAATAACAGCCCTCTTAATGCCATTCAACCATGACACTATTTATCTACAAAACCATTAAATTATGGTACAAGTAGTAAACCTTCACACTCTGAACACCATCAAACTACCAGGTAGCAAATGTTAACCTTTCCTTTAAGTACCAGGTATAATGGTAAGACTATCAGTAATTTATATTTTGTTATCCCTCGCCTAACGAAACCCTTGGCTAAGTTTAGTAAACAGCAAATTCTGCACATATTTAATGAGGCTGCTGTGACCTAATTGGCTGATTTCTTTAATCACTCTCTCTGATGCTGCTCTTGGCAAGATATCTTTTGAAGGACTGGACAGATTTTGATGAAACTTGGGTTGGTACACTAGTTACCTTAATCCCTTGCCCAAGTCTGATTAACAGTGAATTCCGTGCATATTTAATGAGGCGGCTGTGACCTGATTGGCTGATTTCTTTAATCACTCTATGGGAAATCTTTCTGTATATTATCTTATGAAGGAATAATAAGATTTTTAGGAAACTTGCTTTATAGACTTATCACCTGAGTTCCTTTTTCAGGTTTGATTATTGGCAAATTCTATGCATAATCTTTGAGATTTCTGTGACCTGATTGCCTGATTTCTTTTCCAGTTTTCCAGTTAAATGTATATATTTTACAAATAAACAAGGGCAGATCATGATGACAATGTCCTTGTTTTCCTTATAGTTGACTGTGATGTAGAAAAATAAATAGTTGTAGATGGAAACATAAAGCTATAACCCTTTGGACTAGCATTAGGGTTAGTAATTCTGGGATAATGGATGTCTGTAGGGCTCACAATATTCCTTCATTCTGATAGGATGTTGAGGAAGGATACATATGTGATATGTTGATGTCATTCTTATGTGCAACAGGATTTGCTTTGTGTATTTCATAAATAGCTGGTCCTTATCATTTTAAATGGATGGATCCTTCTGTGCTGTCTGAAGGAACATCTAAAAGAAACAGACATCTTTTTAGTTACTCTGCTTAAAAACACTATAAATGCTCAGTGCCGCTTTAATTAAAACATCTACAATTCAGTGCAGTACAATAATATAGTTTTAGCTGACTCCATCTTGTGGCTATTTCATTCATCGATATTGGAACAAATTAATTGTTCCACTGTCACATGTATAACTTCAATTGAAATTAGTCACCTTTATTTGTTATAATGAGCTTAATTTACTCTTGTTTATTAAGTGATATTCGTAAATTGTCATCAGCTACAACACTGCACAGTCTCTCTGGTGACTGCATTGCCTATCTAGTGTCAAGCATGTTCATCAAGGGTCAGGCACCAAGTGTAAACAGGCAGAGCTGTGGCACACCTAAGTTGGTGGTTAGAAAGTGTAGAGAGAAGGCTGAGCAGAGAATACTGGAAGTCAGACCTAATCATGTCACAGGCCCAATGAGGGATGAGTTTACAAATAACCTGGGGTGAAATCCACCCCAGAATTTGGTAACTTTCACCCAGGGAGAGGTTTCCTTGGTTAAGTGTTGTAAACTCTGTGGTTGATGTCACACATTACACCAATGATAATAATTGCACCAGTAATGATTGCGGTAAATGTGCCAATCAACCTTGTATTATTTTGTACCTCTGCGTTGTGTAGTGTTTTCTATTTGGCCCACCGTGGTAACACCCTGGTTGCAAAAGTCATTTCAATAAAATGGTCATAACAGAATTGAGTAATGATGACGTCATTTACGACTAGCTGAGCACTGGACACGCCTACAGTAATATACATAGACTTTGTTCAAGTAGATTTCACATTCATTTAGTTTCAATAGGACATTGATGGAAGTCCAATACAAAGAAAAGTGTGGCCTTAGTGAATATCCTGTTGTACTCTAGGTAAACAAAATATCAAAGCATCTTTTAAGTCTGGAAATGAAGCTTTTAAAAAATGTTAAAATAGTATTTGTAGTCAATGTACATCTAAGGAGAACAAAAACTGCAGGAAATGATGAATCAAATCGTAATATTGATTATATCTCACGGGTGCATTATGGTAATCATTGATTGGCAGAAAACATTTCATCACAGGAAGTCACTCATTGTTAAGAATACCATACTTTTAAAAATTAATCATGAAGATGTTCTGTTGAATCAAGAGTGTTTCAGATTTCAATTAAACAAATCTTTTCTTGTTATAATGATGATTTTCATGACAGGACCACAGGGACAGTGAAAAAAAAATTGATTTTTTATTTTATTTCGCTGATGCAGGATATCGTTTCTAGTGTATGTCAATGATTCCACTAGGTTTTTTCATAACATGATTTAAGAAATGATGGGATATGGATTTTATGATATATGGAATAATTAGGAAGGTAAACATCAAAGACATCACTCTGGAGTGATTTATGTATCAATAACAATCTTTTCCCTGTAGAAATAGATCTGCTTAAGTAATTATTAACACCCAGCCATAAATCTTGAAAACATATTTAGATCATTTGAATTACAATTTGATATTGATTTATAAAAGTGGCAGAAATCCTCACTTACTTGTATGTTTTATCTGGTTTGCTGTTCAAAGCTGCCTGATATTGGTGTCGGTATGCAAATAATTTCATCCTGAACAAGAAAAATATCATGGCTGACACATACTAATGGAATAAATGTTATTTCTATATAAGTTATTGTAAGCCATCAAGGTGACTGCTATGTTTCAGAATAAGTTTGATTTTATGTTGAAAGCAACACAGATATCTAATCATTTTGACTGAATTCTAAATGTGTTTCCAGTAAATATTAATCTATTTCAGTTTGACCGTGGTCCAGTGCACATTGCAGCTGAACGAGGCCACACCAATGTGGTTGACCTTTTAGTGGACAAATGTAAGGCATCCATCTCCGCCCGTACCAAGGATGGAAGCACACTCATGCACATCGCCTCACAGTATGGCCACCCAGAAACAGCTCTTGCCTTCCTTAGGAAGGGTGTGCCCCTACACATGCCAAATAAGGTATATCTTGTTCAGTTAGGCATTGAGGGGCCCAGTAGCTGGGTTCTTGGAATACAGAATATAGTGGTATGGGATCTCTATTGGCAAGGCTTGGATCTACACTGAAATATTTGATGAAAATTAACACCTTGTATAAGATCAATTATGACCATTTTACTTTCACAAATATTGCAGGAGAGCACCAGCCACAATTGATTTGTTGTGGTAAATATTTCCTCAACTGACCCTGTTACATGTCTGTGATGGTTTGTGCCTTTTTGGCGTTTGTTTGTGTCATAAGTGTCTGTTGTTGTCCTATCTATTCTGAGTTTGGATTACTTTCTTTCGTTGTGGTATGCAAGCTATGCATATATGATAAAGACTCAGAGCTTTAATTGATAGAGTAAGAAGTCTCTAGCTTGAGCCCCAGTATAGGTAGGGTATTTTTCTTCCCAACTCCTGATACTAATGTATTCATCACGGAAACCTAAATACATATTATGTGATAAATAATTATAAAATGTCAGATCAAGATGTTACCTCTATGCCATTGTTTAATGAGAAGATGCACGTCAAATTCATATTTTGTGCTGGCCTGGATTTATTTTTTTCTAGAGTTATGGCCCTTGAATTTATTTTTTTGACTTGAACTGCACTGTGTCTGATGTAAAGGTAACTGAATTTTTCACAATTCTTCTGTCATTATAAGCTATTATAGGATTCAGCCTGTTTGTGTATTTGGTGTTTTCAGTCAGGGGCAATCTGTTTACATGCAGCAGCCATGAAAGGTCATACCAATGTTGTTCGGTCATTACTGACCAAAGGTGCATCTGTGGACTCCAAAACCAAGGTAAAGGATCATTTCTTACAGAAGTCTATCTAGGGATGTTCATCAAGACAATAAAATCAAAGTGTCTCTTTAGAAAGATTTAGTAGTTTAAGTAGTAGGACCAAATCCTAGACATTTAGTCAAATATATACTGTGATTGAGATAATTTTTTTGAGGATTTCTATTTTGCAGCATTTCAAAGGATGCAATAGATTAAAAAAAAAACATGAATAGAAAGTAATGAACTTCCATAAAAAATACATCTATTTTGCTCAAAGCTTTTGCTGAAGCAGCAAAGAAGAGCTGACAATCATGACCCTTACCCTATTTCTGTAGTGCTGTATGCATGGTGTATAAGGTTCTGTATATATTGTTTTCTGTATACTGTCTCACTGTCCCGTGTTTGTTGTAGGATGGATACACTCCTCTACATCTGGCTGTAGAGTATTGTAAACCTCAGGTAGTACAGATGCTGCTTGGTTTTGGGGCACAGGTTGAGCTGAAGGGTGGACAGGTAAAAACCTCTCTATTTTAGCCTTTAAGATAACATTCCCCATCATTACAGAAGTACACAATATGGTGTGAGTAGAACACCTGGTGTAAGGCCTGTACACATGATCTTAAGTGGTTTTCTTCAGATGATTAACCTTTCTTACAACACTGCATGATAAGGTCATACAGAGGATATGAAAGTAATGTATTGAATTAATATATGTCTTCTCATCATCTCAGGTGTACAATGTATAATAAACAACTAATTTTTAATTGTATCTGATCACTGACTTAATTTTCATGGATACATGCATTAGGTCCAACAAGTTTGCCCTCACGATAGTATGAATGCAATTTATGCAAAATTGTCTAAGAAAGTTCCAACATTCTTGGTGCAATGAAGTGAGTTTATCATTAAAAATTAATGTAATGTTTGGAATTTGTGACCATAGGCTCAAGAAACGCCACTGCACATTGCAGCAAGAACCAAAGAGGGAGAGAAGTGTGGGGAAATGCTGCTGAAAAGTGGAGCCAATGTGAATGCTTCACAAGAGGTAAGTTTCTCCTACAATAAGGATGTGTATACTAGCATAATCTATGCAACTATGCTCTGATCTATTAATAACAAATTCTTTTAAGAGATGTCATATTTTCATAAATGCAGTTTTTGTTTTATAAAGATCCACTCTGTAAAGATATTACTTATCCAGAAGTGCTCAGATTTTTGTTCTTTTTCCTAGGTTCACAATCTGAAACAAACCTATGCATTCTAAATTTCTGTGACTATTTGTGAATTTGAAAATGAGAAGTAAAATTAAGATTTGTATTTAGTAATATCGGGAAGGTGAATTATTGAATTAGTTGAGGTGAAACACTATTTCTCCATATTATTAATCCCTTGTAAAAAACTATATATGATTAGGTAAGGTGAAATGATAAGCTCTCATGTGACCTAGACACAGACTTGGGTAATCCTTGCATTCCTCTTAACAGAATGGAGAAACTGCTATGCATATAGCTGCTCGTTATGGTCAGTTAAAGATGGTAATCGCTCTGCTTGAGGAGGGAGGTAACCCTACACAACAGTCCAAGGTCAGTTACATAATTTAAGTACAAAGACAAAGTCATTTAATTCTACACAATACAATGCCAGGATCAAGATTACTTTAAAAACAAGGTCAAGGTTCATTGCAGAATTTAAACTCAAGGTCAAGGCCAGTTACTTAAAACAAGTATGTGTAAGGTATACAAATGCAGTACCATTAGGTCAGCCAGAGTACCAAATTAAAGGTTAGAGTCAGTTACAGGAAATGGATCAGTTGGCAAGGTCAAGTATCAATTTTCAATGTCTGTTACAGTATATAAATAAATGAACAAGGCTAGTAACACTGTGACAGGGAAAGGTCAAGGTCAGCTACTGTAAAAAACACAATATCAAAGTCATTTACAGTATATAAGGTCAAGGTCAATTATTGTATATTTAATAGTTTAGGGTCATTAAATCTGTCTTCACATTCCAATAATGAAATTCTTTAAAATTTGAGTTATTTTAATCATTAAATCATTAAAGTTGTTTTAAGTTATTTAATTATGATAAAGAAATTGAGATTTGTCATGCATGGTTCTATGCCAGGTTGGTGAAACGCCACTCCATGTAGCAGTACGACACTGTCACCTGGAGGTTACCAAGGAACTCCTACTGTACGTCACCAGACACAAGTCACGCATTGATGCAGTCATGTTGGTTAATCAACACAACTGGGTAAGTTTTAAGTACACATTTGTATCTCTTTTGTCTTTTATTCCTCAAATACATTTGTATTTAAAACTTAATGCTTTATCATTCACAAGTAACCAGTCATGTTTGTAATATAAAGACATATGTTTTACTGGATACCAATATTTGTGACCAGAGAAAATATTTATATGGTGTATATGAACAGGGCTTGTAGGTATGAGGGATGGGGAAGGCAGGATGGTTTAAGTATTTCAGGTGTATATGAACAAGGCTTGTTGTTATGAGGGATAGGGGAGGCAGGATGAGTCTACTGTAAATATGAAACTGAAAATGTGTAGCTCGTAACATTAGCCATTATCTACTTGTATTTAATGAGGATTGTATCTTTTATACTTGTGACAGGAGGGAGAAACCTCAGTACACTATGTGGCTGAACTCACTAAGAACATGGCTCACAGTGAGTTTGAGGACACTGATATCACTAGACTGCTGCTGCAGTATGATGGGGACACGGGGACACAGACTAAACTGGTTAGTATCATATGGTGATTGGTCAATTTGTATATACATTCTATATTCTGATTGGTCAGCTTATATTTACATACCATATTGTCACTGGTCATTTGTATCTACATATCATCTTATGATTGGTGAGTTTGTATTTCCATACCATGTTCTGATAGATGAGTTACTCTGGGACCAAAGATAAATCAGACAATAACTGATCTAAATACATATTATTGTGGAAGGATTCATTGTTTTGAGTAATAAATCTTTACAAATATTATGTATTGAAGGAAATTAAGTTATTTAATTCTGTTCAACTCTTTGAAATTTAATTCAATTTGATTCGTCTTAATTCCTCTCAGTTCACTGCAGGTACTTCATGTATACATAATATGTGAATTAGTCTATACTAATGTTGGAATCATGAAATATATACATTGTACACAGATACTATTTTTTTAGTAACTATAACTATATAATATTACAGACTCATGAATCTCCACTACACTATAGTGCCAGGTCAGGAAATGAAGACATCTTGATGGAAATTGTTAAAAATATCAAAACTAGTGTCCAGTCAGCAGTCAATACACAGTCAAAGGTAAATTATAGAAGTTCAACTGATTGTTGATGGGTGATGAAATCATAGACGTACAACTGATTGTTGATGAGTGATAAAGATATAGAAGCCTTCAGCTAATAAATAAATTATTGAAGACATTTGAATAACATGGTTACAGCTATTTATGTAGAAGACACTAGATGCTCTGGATATATTTATGTTAGCAATAAAAGTTCAACAGACATGAAAAAGCTCCATCGCAGAAATCTGAAAGTAATAACAATCTAACAGAATGTGAGAAATGTCAATCCTTTTAGAGATGTGTCATGTGTTCTTTCTCTTTATTTGTTACAGAATGGATGGTCTCCCTTGTTAGTGGCCAGTGAGCAAGGTCACCTTCAGATTGTTAAGATACTCCTCCAGAACCATGCTCGAGTAGATGTGTTTGATGAGGTATGTAAAAGTACATTAAGATATGTTAATCCTTCTTCAGAAGATAATTCTTTTGTGTTTTGAAAGTTAAGGTCCGATGCGACTCACTAGTTTATCATAAACTATGTTAAGAATTCTTTCTGTTTGTCACTGCAGCATCATGGAAAGGCAGCTCTTCACCTAGCAGCAGAAAATGGCCATGACCTTGTCGCTGATGTCCTACTGTGGCACAAAGCATTTGTCAATGCCAAATCTAAACTAGGGGTCACACCACTCCATCTGGCAGCGCAGAATGGATACAACAAACTAGTGAAACTCCTGCTGGAGACCCATGGGGCTACTATTGATGCCCTGTCTCTGGTAAGTCTGTTGGTTAAGTAGACCTTTAAGGTCATGATTGATGCCCTGTCTCTGGGAAGCCTGTATGTAGAATGAATCTTGTGAGCCACGATTGATGCCTTGCCTTTGGGAAGTTTGTATGTAGAGTAGACCTTGAGGGCCACCATTAATGCCCTGTCTCTGATAAGACTGTTTGCATGGTAGACCTTGAGGGCCACCATTAATGCCCTGTCTCTGATAAGACAGTTTGTAAGGTAGACTCTGAGGGCCACCATTAATGCCCTGTCTCTGATAAGGCTGTTTGCATGGTAGACCTTGAGGGCCAACATTGTTGCCCTGTTTCATTTAAGTCTCCATGTAGAGTGGACTAGGGCCACTCTTGATGCCTTGTCTCTGGTAAGTTGTAATGAAGCAGATCACAGCCTTTCAATAACATTGTATATTCATTTGAAAGAGAATTCTGGTTAAGTCAAATTGTGATTTCAAAACGGGAAAGAAAATAAATCAAAATAGCTATATACTTGAAATGATATTCAAGATATCATGTATAAGTGAAAACTGTGATATTTTAATTGATCTTGGATATTATCGTCAGAAATCTGTGATGACATGGCTGGAGCTTACATTGTTTCCTATTCATCTTGGCCTAGCATTAATTTCAATTATTCTGACACATTTTGAACTTATTATTCCTGAAATCTGTTGGATGAATTTTAGAGTAGATTCCATTTCCCATAAAAAAAAACGGAAGGGGTAATAGGTGTATGTCTTCACAAACACTCTATTGCTCTTCTAGAAATGTAATTCAATAATTAAAGTTTTGAGAACAATATACTTAATTTCACATGTAATTGAGTGACAATTATATATAGGATCTGGTATGAAATTCCATTTGATATATGAATTTATGGAAAAGGTCTGAGAATTTGTCATATTAGTGAGCCTGATCAATTTTTCAAGCAAATATGGTAGATAAAAAACATCTCTACATCAGATTTGATGTCATGTCTACTGTACATCTAAGGTCTCCATTGTTACTTCACGATACCATCTCACGGTTACTTCACAATACCATCTGTGAATCACTCTACATCTATGGTCTCCATTGTTACTTCACAATACCATCTGTGAATCTCTCTACATCTATGGTCTCCATTTTTACTTCTCAATGCCATCTGTGAAGCTCTCTACATTTATGATCTCCATTGTTACTTCACAATACCATCTGTGAATGTGTGGGTAAGCTATGTTTTAATCATGTGTAATATGTAAAACTAAGACTTTGCTTAATTCACTGAAAACAAGGCTATCATGTGATAAATTATCATCTATTATTACAACATAGCTCAAATGTACGATATGTTATTTATACAGATGTCACAGAATATACTGCATTGTTTTATTTTTTGTATGACACACTTTTATGCAGAACAGGTTTTTGCTATATTTTTCAGTGTTGGATATCGGTCTGTTATTGATGTTATGCTTATCTTGACACTGATGTGTTAAATAGTTTTTTATTGGTTTTGTTGCAATCAAATGTTAAGGTGATACTACAGGATGTCATTTGGGACCAATTACGTGACTCTTCACTCATCAAGTTTATGTTTACAAAACATAAACTAATACAAAATATACTGTAACTCTTATGAATAATTAAATCATTTCCGCTTAATTTTTTCAGAGCAAATTTGTTTGTGAAAATCATTTGCATACTTTGTCATTGTAATGATGTCTAGTTATCACTTGCACGTTGCCTTGTAATACATGTATATAATTTCAAATTTCAGGAAGGGCATGCAATAAAATGATAATATACATGCTAGCACTTACTGATGTTGAGTACAGTTAATTGTTGAATAAACTGAGCAAAATCATACAAAAAAAACATTAAAGTGCTGTCTTAGAGAAAATAAACAAATTTTTTCAGAATCAATATTTATAATTCTATGCAAAACCTTACATATGAAAATGAACATTAGATCGTGTATGTTGTACCAGAATATTCTTTATACAGTGTTTCTTGAGAAAAAACAGACACTTAATAGTATGAAAAATGCCAAAAAATTCAATGGATCTTTAATTTGAGAAAAATTCTAACAGACACTTATTGGTATGATCTTGAATTTTTTTTTGATTATTCATATGGTTAACAATTTTCAAGGCCAAAAGGACTCCATTACACTATGCAGCCCAGAACGGTCAGATGGAGGTGTGCAGTACTCTCCTCAAGATGAAGGCAGATGCCAATGCTACAGACGTTGTAAGTTGTAAGCCTTTAGCTACATATTGAACATGTCCTACTGAGGATTTGTATGATTCTGTCCTATACTGCTGCGTCCTCTCATTCTGGAGTCAGCACTGACAAATTGTACTGTAATCCGAACCTAGACGATAATACAGAAAATTAAAATTAATGTATTCATGAACCAGAATTAGAATATTGGTTAATTCCAGCGTTTCAGGTAGACCAATTTGAATATTTCCTGCATAAATATATTCCTAATGAATATTTGATAGGGACAGGGAGGGAGTTGGAATGTGGGTGGTTCGGAGTATCAAGGGTAGTGGTGTGGTGTAAAGATTGAGGGAAGGGGGATGGAGGAATACAGACATGGTACTATCTGATGTAGCATGGATTTTGTGAGATAAGTCTTTCCCCTAATTATACAACTCCTTTAACTATAATGGATCATGCTCTCATGATAATACTGTTCTGAACAAATGTCAATGATCGCTATTGTAAGGTCTCTTTGGAAACAATATTATACAACTAGTAAGATTTACCAGCACATCAGTTTACCTACATAAAATAACAATGTTTACACTTGATTTACTTCGTGGTTCACATTTATTTATACATTTCTTCATACTTATCATTTAACAGCACGGTCAAACCCCTCTGCATCTTGCCGCAGAGAACGACCACTCAGATGTGGTCAAGCTGTTTCTGAAGTATCGCCCAGAACTTGTTACCATGGCAAATACTGTAAGTATGCATGTCCTGGGATAACCTTCTTATTTCTTTCTATCTTTGTATGGTTATTGTCAGAACACATTTTCATTGATGACAATGAAAATAAGAATTTTCAAAAATCTTGCTTTATGTATATAAAATATCTTTTGATATTAAATCACATTCTTCACACCTGTGAATTTAAGACACATCACATCCATCATCTTTTATCACTATAAATAGGTCACTGTGTACAATTTTCTGTCATGTATGTTTCATATTTGTATTGTTTCTAACACATGTAAACACGTTATTTACAACACAATGTTGTATGTGTTATGTTTGCACTGTGACAACTGTAACTGAATCTGTTTCTTACTTTACCCTAGGATGAGGTAAGTAAAGAGTGACTCCTGTAGACAGTATATTGCATTATCTCCCCTTGATTTCAGTTTTATTTTATTGTGTTCCTTTAACCCCACAGATGATATATTGCATTATCACCCCTAACATTATAAGTAAATTATTTTCTGTGTTTCTCCCCTTGGTATTAGTACAGTGCATTCCTTATCATCTCCTCCCCCCCCCCACCCCATGATTTAAGCAAATTATGATCTGTATTATATCCCTTTAACCAGATACAGTATATATAGTATTTCTCTTTAATCCTGAAGACAGTATTGTGTTTTACATTCTCTTGACTGCCAGTGCATTGTGTGACCTCATCATGTGTCTGTTAGACAATATATACTGCGATATCTCACCATTAACATTGTATTATTCTCCTTTTTATTTTGTAATCTTCCCTTAATAATTTGAACCATTCAAATGACTTGTTCAAAAACAAATATATTACATTATCACTCCTGCCCATGATTCATTTATACACATATGTACTACATTATATCCCTTGACTCATTCATACACATGTGTACTATGTTATATCCCTTGACTCATTTATACACATGTACTATATTATATCCCTTGACTCATTTATACACATGTACTATATTTTATCCCTTGACTCATTTATACACATGTGTACTGTATTATCTCCCCTGATAATATATGATGTATTATCTCCCCTGATTTAGTTACACACATGTATGATGCATTATCCCTTGGATTTATTTAGACACATGTATGTTGTAGTTTCTCCTTTGATGCATTCAGACATATATATACTGCATTATCTCCCCTGATTTATTTAGACACATGTATGTTGTAGTTTCTCCCTTGATGCATTCAGACATATATATACTGCATTATCTCCCCTGATTTATTTAAACACATGTATGTTGTAGTTTCTGCTTTGATGCATTCAGACATATATATACTGCATTATCTCCCCTAACTCAGTTTAAATTCATATATAGTGTTAACACAGTTTATTTTGCCAATGTTTTTGTTCCATCATTTGCTTATTTCTCTTTACTGTGATCTAGCCACACTGTTATGGTAAACCAACAACATCAGGAGGCCTGTTCTTAAATATTTAATATACACAAAATATATAGAGTTTAGACAATGATCGGTTGTTATATTTCAACAGTTACAAAAAAACAATATGCTTTAGCGAGTGTTTTTGCAATGTTTTAAAAATGACTAATGAGAGTGAAAGAAATACCATTTATTTTCAAAGCAAAAAAAGGACATTCTAATTTTTCTTGAGTGTGTGAAATGTCCTTTGGGTCAAAGTTCATCCTGTCAGCCAATCAAAATATGCCTAAGTGTTATATCACATGTAGTTTAACATTTATGTTTTTGAAAGAAATGGAAAAATTCATTAATGCCTTTGAAGTTGAATAACACCCACCTATTGTGATAGAAATACATTTAACTGCTATTTTCTCGAACGACCTGCATAGAATAAAGACACATCAAGACTATCTGACAAATGATTGATTGAAGGCATAGTTACATTTCATGGATCTCACCTCGTTAAAGATTGTATACATACAGATTTTCAGTGCTGGTATTTAAGATCATGGCCTCATGATGTTAACATGGAATTGGAAAAATACAACTGAATCAGTCTCTTTACAAGGGAATATGAGTTATTTCATTTTTTTTTTTTTTTTTTTGTATCAAAATAATTTTGAAGACATTGGCAAACAATGTGCTATTTTCATATATCTTGATTAGAAAACATCCGACTTCAAATTTCCTCTTAGGCAATAATAGGACTGGACACAGCTGGAATGCCTTGTGTAAGTGTATGCCTGGTAGACTCTAGATATCAGTACATCACATGCTATTTAGTCTTTTGCAGTACAGAATGTTGTAGAATTCAGTAGACTACAAGTAGTCTGTTTCTGATATAACTACCTTAACTTCATGGCTAGCTTTGAAGGCCATTCTGATGTATGTTTAGTGATACATATTTCATACATACCTATACCTTGTTTTGTAAACTCTGTGAATTTGTTAAAACTCCAATGTATATACTAAATGTAGGTTAAAGTGACCTCGAAACGTGGAGCAGGATGTAGACTTGTGTAATTTTCAGAATCCTGATGTGATGATAGATTGGCGGTAGCGTTTGTTTGCTGATTGTTTGATTTCCTTTATCAAAATTGATGATTGTACATTTTAATTCAGAAGTTGTTGAGACAATACAGATATAGCTTAAAAGTACAAATTGAGACTCTCCAATGTAAGATTAATTAATTGATGTGTTCATATCAATACAAAATAATCTAACTCCAGACATTAGGTCAAAATGTCAGGTTTACATATATTGGTTATTGTCATTTTGTATCTAACACACAGACTACTCCCTCATGTCAAGTTTTCTTGATTAAAGGAAGACATTGAAGTATGACCAATCAGTAACACTCTGAAATCTTTCTAAGAAATCAACCCATTTATTTTATGGCTCTATGTGTATCTAATTCTGGGAGGCTGTAAAATATTCATATACTGGACATCCATACAATGTGAACCTGAAACATTGTTGTAAAGAATTAGTTTAAAATTGAGGTACATGTGTGTATAACTCTCAGCAAAATAGTAACATAAACAAATTTGACAGAGGGGAAATGACTGAACAATGATTAAACATATAAATCAGAACAAATGCCCCACACAATACTGTCATGGCTGTTTTGTTAATGGTTCAAGTTTCTCTGGTTTTGCCAAACCCTTGCAGAAATAAAAGATATATTATTAAAGCATTTTGTGAAAGGATTCACAATATCTATATTGTGTGATTTTATTCTGTTCCTGAAAACAACATGAAATGAAAATTCTTGAGAATTTGAGAACCTTTGCTGTAGCATTATCCTTAGACATCTGACTGATATGTCTGACTGCCAACCTCCTACTCCAAGTTTTGATGAAAATTAATACAGATGTAGGTATATTTGATTTAATGATAAATAACTTTCCATATTTTTGGGAATTTAGGCCACTTTTTTTGTGTGAGTCAGGCGTTGGGCTTATGTACTGATACAGCTTAAATGTGGATGAAAAAAAAATTGCCTACCATATGTTTGTAACTTAAACAGATCATGTATAACTGTCACTTGTAATCATATAAAGGTGGATTTCAAAAGCAGATACAATGTGTTCATATGGCAACAGTGTTTTTAAAAAGGCAGATAAAGATACAGTGAAATTATCAAATCTGTGGAAAAATGGATTATGATTTCAGCGAAGTCTTCATAGATAGCTGGTGTGATAATTTGTTTGATTGTTTGCAAAATACATAGAAGGCTAGGCTTAGTATGTTTTATAGATATCAATTGAGAATGCAATAGTAATTAGTATAAAACATCTCGTACAGTAATGTCACTCTTTCATCATTATCTCATCAGAATGTATACAGAATGCAAATTGCATTTCCCTGTTAAAATCTTAAACTAAACACAAAAATAAATTATTGTGTTATTAGAATTTTAATATCACAAATATACTCTGATAGATCACAAGATAAATTTTGAAATTTCAGAGCATGTTACAAGTTTACATCGATATTTTAAAAAAATTTATGTGTAAAAGATGTTTCATATTGACTGTGAATGCCAACTAAAATCAGCCTCTTTGACTAACTTTAATATGGTTTTGTAGAATGGGATGACCTGTGCCCACATCGCCGCCGCTAAGGGGAGTGTGGCGGTCATCAAGGAACTGATGAGGTTCAACAAAGGTGTGGTGACCACTGCAAAAAATAGAGTAAGTTCAAGGTCACTTATTGGTAATTTCAAGGTCAGAGACAAAAAACATTATTAGATTTCAGTTTAATGTAGTAGACCAGAACAAAGATCAAGGCTGTTTTGTTAGCAAAGAAAGAGTAGGTTTTCAAAGTTGCTAGGTTACTATGTAACCAGAATTATCTTTAGAAGATCTCTTAAAAAGGAATTTAGAATAGTAAATGAGGAGACTGTCCTCAATAAAATATGATTACTGAATATTTTTGACATGGATGTTTAAAGCTATGAAAAATCTAGTATGAAAATGTCTTTGTATTTACAGACAAGCGAGTCAACAGCGCTTCACCTGGCAGCAGCTGGAGGTCATAAAGAGGTTTTACAGGTGTTACTAAATGCAGGGGCACTTGCTACAGAAGAGAATGCTGTAAGTATGCTGTATCCCTTAGACACTTTCACAATGTATGGCTAGGAGCACTAGGTAACTTAACTCATAGGATGTCACTAAACATTTTTTTATGTATGGTTACGAGTAGATACATGTAATGAAATCTGCCACTTTTCTGTGTATGACTCGGGGCCCCCAGCCTGTCAGACATTGTAGTATATGAATGGAAGACGTGTTATCCCACTCTGCCAGATTCTTTGGTGTCTGACTGGGGTACATTTGACCCTTTTCTGCCAGACACTTGTTTGACTGGAGAATGTTTGACCCCACACTGCCAGACTTTGGTGTATGACTGGAGGACATTTGACCCCACACTGCCAGACTCTTTGGTGTATGACTGGAGGACATTTGACCCCACACTGCCAGACTTTGGTGTATGACTGGAGGACATTTGACCCCACACTGCCAGACTTTGGTGTATGACTGGAGAACGTTAGATCCCACACTGCCAGACTTTGGTGTATGACTGGAGGACATTTGACCCCACACTGCCAGACTTTGGTGTATGACTGGAGGACATTTGACCCCACACTGCCAGACTTTGGTGTATGACTGGAGGACATTTGACCCCACACTGCCAGACTTTGGTGTATGACTGGAGAATGTTTGATTCCTCACTGCCAGACTTTGGTGTATGACTGGAGGACATTTGACCCCACACTGCCAGACTTTGGTGTATGACTGGAGAACGTTAGATCCCACACTGCCAGACTTTGGTGTATGACTGGAGGACATTTGACCCCACACTGCCAGACTTTGGTGTATGACTGGAGGACATTTGATCCCACACTGCCAGACTTTGGTGTATGATTTTGATAAACATTTGCCAGACTTTTTAGTGTACATCAATGGCTGATGGTACACTCAGTCACAATCTACCAACCTCTTTATAGTGTTAATGACACACAATTAATCTCAATCTAACTGACTGTTTTTTATGTTTGACTAAAGACACGTTGATCGTGATCTGCCAGATATTTGTAGTGTATAGATTTTCTGATTAAAACTAGGAAAATGTTTCATATTAAGGATGATAGTAGTGATTTGTTACAATAATTACACCGCTTTCCATTTTGTATAGGACTGTTATTGGAGAAGCTAGGAATCAGTTATGATAACCTAGTTATAGTGTTGAGGTTACACATTCTCAACAAATCCTAAATCTGAATTATGTAATGTGCAATTAAATCAAGCATAAGTGATGCATCACCCTGAGCTTCAATGTGAGATATCTAACTTATCATGTGTTTGAGCATGAATAACCACTTGACAGACCACTAATGGAGCAAATGTTTAAAAACCTTGTAGTAGTGATATAAACATAACTTGCTGACACAGTAATTGGTAAGCAGCCCTGTAGCAATGCTATTAATTGATTTGATTACTAAATGCTAAAATTAATCAGCTATCATGTATAATTAGGTTACACACATTAAAGACTTGTGCTATATCTAGTGTGTCTCCAGGCATTCGGACATTGCTGAGACTGACAAATCACTCCAAGCTTAACCTTACATAGATACAGTGTATACTCCCCCAAACAATAGGTTGATTCCATATTAAGAAGTCATAGTTTTCTGTGAAGGTCAATTACCTCAGGCAAGTCTGAAGGTTGTATACTACATGGTCATTTACTGTGGGGCGGGGTGTTTTTCTCTTTGGTATTTTGTACCCACACTTGTCATTATCCGTTATTATACAGTTTAGTGAAGATTTATCTGATGAATGATGTACAGCATAGTTAGATTTATAAAAAAGAATGTATTGTAATAAATTTATTGTTTAAATTGCAGTAAACAATTTTTTTTATTCCATTTTTTAAATACCTTAGGACGGGATGACAGTGATTCACTTGGCTGGAAAGCATGGACATGTACACATACTTGAGGCCCTTAAAGGTCAAGTGTCATGGAGGATAACCAGTAAAAAGGTAAAGAAAATATTTAAGGGAATCACAATAGAAATACCAGAGAAAACAGCTTTTTTATAGGGAGGGTTACCATGCATGAGGGGAAAACATGTAACAGAGGGTTAACAGTGAATGTGGACCAGTTGTAGGGTGGGGAGGAATGCTTTAGAATGGTGATGAAGTTTGTTTCCAGGTGTATAACGCTTTAAAAGGGAGCAAAACATGTCATCAAAATGGAAAAGTACAGAAAGTTGTTTCTTGAAAAAGATGAGAGAGGAAATATTTATAAATCTTTATAAAATTTTCATATTGCAATTGATATAAAGAGAAAGTTGTGTCAGTCCTTAACATAACCAGGAAAATGTTATAATTATTGTCTGTGATGATTATCATTAGTAAGGAGTTGACAGAACATAAGGAAGGAATCCTCGGTGTACTTAATCATCAGGTATAACAAATTGTATTGTTTCCTGTTATTCCACCAACTCTTATATTTTTCCCTACCTTTAACATTTTCATTTCTTTTCAAACTTATTACAGGAAGCAAATACTTTGCTGTTTTGTTTTTCCAGGCAAATATTAAGACATAGGTTTTAATAAGAAAAGTTGATAAATCTATATTGTTTGAGGACTTATAGTCTAATTGGTAGGGAAAATGAAGAAGGTTACCAGTATCAATAAAGGAAAAACAAAGTTTGTACAAAATAAATGTCTAAACATTGGGACAAGGTATTTGAAGGACAGTAAACATACATACTAAAACAAAAAATTAATTATGATAGATTTTCATAATGAGCAGAATGATAAAGAAATGACAGGTATGGTATAAAAATCAGTTTATTGTGTAGCACCTAGTTAGCTGAGGAATGAGAAGTTGAGATTTTTGAGGTCAGATCAATACACAATGTCACTGCAGTTCCAATGATTAATAATTTTTTCCACATTCTTTTCACATGCTCGTCTTTGACAGGTTGTATGGTGATATGACATTGTCCCTCTATCAATGTGTTCATTTGTCTGTCAGCGATCTGAATCATTGTTCTTTTTCACTAACAGTAAAGGAGTTTTTGGTAATTCCTTGTAAAGTTGAAAATGGAATCATGGGTAACTTTATGTTTCAGACACCTGATTTAAAAGTCAAGGTTACAGTTATCAAAATTAGAATTTTGTTTATCATCACTATATAGCTTATGTAGATAAGACCAAAACCTTCATAAATTATTACCTTTCTATTCCAGACTGGATTATCTGCCCTCCATGTGGCTGCCCACTTTGGCCAGGTGAACTTTGTAAGGGAGATGCTGACTAAAGTTCCAGCCACAGTCAAGAGTGAGATGCCAGGTGGTACAGGGGATGCTGCCCTAAGTGGATTTTCAGCAGAGGTCAGTGACAGGATGTGTAAACGAGTTATACTACAAAACATTATATAATACAATGAATCCTTAAACTGTCTTTGTATATCTATTTTTACTGATTGTTTCTGAGTGTGACCTTCATATGTACTTATATTCTCTTGATCTTTCATGTCCTGTTGTTGTCTGCTTGAATGTTCTCTCAATATCTTGTCAATTTAAAAGATATTACTAAGTACAAGCGGTATGTTTGGTAACTGCATTGTATGCTGGTAACCAGAAGCAGTATCTATGGTAACTGCATTTTGTGCTGGATACCAGGTGTGAGATATATGATAACTGTATCATATACTGGTATTCAAATGTGGCATTTCTTGTTACTGTATTGTATGGTGATACCATTGTAATCAAGAAAGATATCTGTGGTAATGGTATTGTATGATGATCATCAGTAGTGGTATCTATGCTAACTGTATCAGTATGGTAGTAATCAGTAGTGGTATCTATGCTAACTGTATCAGTATGGTAGTAATCAGTAGTGGTATCTATGCTAACTGTATCAGTATGGTAGTAATCAGTAGTGGTATCTATGCTAACTGTATCAGTATGGTAGTAATCAGTAGTGGTATCTATGCTAACTGTATCAGTATGGTAGTAATCAGTAGTGGTATCTGTGCTAACTGTATCAGTATGGTAGTAATCAGTAGTGGTATCTGTGGTAACTGTATCAGTATGGTAGTAATCAGTAGTGGTATCTATGCTAACTGTATCAGTATGGTAGAAATCAGTAGTGGTATCTATGCTAACTGTATCAGTATGGTAGTAATCAGTAGTGGTATCTATGCTAACTGTATCAGTATGTTGGTAATCAGGAGTGGTATCTATGGTAACTGTATCAGTATGCTGGTAATCAGCAGTGGTATCTGTAGTAACTGTAGTATCAGTATGCTGGTAATCAGTAGTGGTATCTATGGTAACTGTAAACAGTATGCTAGTAATCAGCCATGGTATCTGGTAACTGTATACAGTTTGCTAGTAATCAGTAGTGGTATCTGTGGTAACTGTATCAGTATGTTGGTAACCAGCAGTGGTATCTGTAGTAACTGTATCAGTATGTTGGTAACCAGCAGTGGTATCTATGGTAACTGTATTAGTACACTCTAACCAGGAATCATATGGATCTTTAGTAAGTAACTTAGTAACTTGTGTAAATAAGAATGAGTATTGTAGCATTTCTTTCTTTCTCCTTATTAAAGGATAAATGTGATAGCTTGTAAATGATATAGAAATGAATTTAGATGAAACTTGTTTCTTGTTAGATGGTATGTTTTCTGTGTGTTAGGTATGTATACCTGTGATACTAGAACACAATTTGTGATGTGTAATAGTTATACACTGGTACTGTAATGTTGGTAGGTCCTGTGTAGAATATCTTTGTATTGATGAGTTACATTATATACATTTATATATCTAAATGTTCTGATATATCTATATCTTTTATTATATCTACATGATATATCTATATGAAACAATCATGCGGTCAGAAAACGAAAATATCTGGAAGAGATAAGAGACCGTCTCTGTTGAGATACGATATACCTAGGTATGTTAAAATATCTGGAAAAGCTAAAGAGACAGTCTCTATTGAAATACCATATATGTTTGAATATCTGGAAAAGCTAAAGAGACCGTCTCTATTGAGATACCATATACCTAGGTATGTTAAAATATCTGGAAGAGCTAAAGAGACCATCTCTGTTGAGATACCATATACCTAGGTATGTTAAAATATCTGGAAAAGCTGAAGAGACTGTCTCTATTGAAATACCATATATGTTTGAATTTCTGGAAGAGCTAAAGAGACCGTCTCTATTGAAATACCATATATGTTAAAATATCTGGAAAAGCTAAAGAGACCGTCTCTGTTGAAATACCATATATGTTAAAATATCTGGAAGAGCTAAAGAGACTGTCTCTGTTGAGATACCATATATGTTAAAATATCTGGAAAAGCTAAAGAGACTGTCTCTGTTGAGATACCATATATGTTAAAATATCTGGAAGAGCTAAAGAGACCGTCTCTGTTGAGATACCATATATGTTAAAATATCTGGAAAAGCTAAAGAGACTGTCTCTGTTGAGATACCATATATGTTAAAATATCTGGAAGAGCTAAAGAGACCGTCTCTGTTGAGATACCATATATGTTAAAATATCTGGAAGAGCTAAAGAGACCGTCTCTGTTGAGATACCATATATGTTAAAATATCTGGAAAAGCTAAAGAGACTGTCTCTGTTGAGATACCATATATGTTAAAATATCTGGAAGAGCTAAAGAGACCGTCTCTGTTGAGATACCATATATGTTAAAATATCTGGAAAAGCTAAAGAGACTGTCTCTGTTGAGATACCATATATGTTAAAATATCTGGAAGAGCTAAAGAGACCGTCTCTGTTGAGATACCATATATGTTAAAATATCTGGAGAGCTAGAGGGACTGTCTCTGTTGAGATACCAAATATGTTAAAACATCTGGAGAGCTAGAGGGACTGTCTCTGTTGAGATACCATATATGTTAAAATATCTGGAGAGCTAGAGGGACTGTCTCTGTTGAGATACCATATATGTTAAAATATCTGGAGAGCTAGAGGGACTGTCTTTATTGAGATACCAAATATCTGGAGGAGCTAGTGAAGCCAAATGACCAACTTAAATTAGGAGTCCACCACCTCATGGATTTCTTCAGCCTGTTAACACATGTGTGACGGTAGAGTGGACAAAGATAATGATAGAACTATAAATAAAGGAATAAGGAATAATTAGAGATAATTGAGTCAATCTATGTTTATGCTATAGCTTTTTTTAAATTGATTTTTTTGTATATTCCGACAACTGGTTCTCCTCTTAGATGAAGCGTATATAGTAGGACTTAAAAATCACCATTAAAGACAAGATTTTCATGGAAATATCAATTTTACCGAAGAAAACGGGGTTCACACTATTCGTGTAGGTTTCACTAAACACATCGTACCAAACCATAACATCCTGTGTCTTATTTATTAATGAATGTTGTTGAAATAAATGTGACCTAATTGTTTGTTACGTTTGCTTTATGATAGTATGTTTTGTTACCATTCTATGCTTCCAGCATAAAGCTTTACACAAATGGTTAAATCAAACTCAGGTGAGGAACTGACCTCTATGTGACCTTGGATGACACTGCAGTCTCACCAGCTTACATTTCTAGATGTGTTCACAGTGTATTGTTATATTGTAATACAAAATTGGATCAGCACAGCTAATGTCATTGGGTCCGATTCTACATCCTATATTATAATAATCAGACCACCTTATAGCAGTGTATATACCTGACCAGTTTCAATATTATCACATTTCTCACTGGGTCTTAATGTGTTCCCCCATTACATCATCACACACATATCATTATAATCTGCCCTCCTGGTACCATATTCTCAATGGGTCCTGTGTGTGTTCACTAATCACATCTTGTATATCATTATAGTCTGCCCTCCTGGTACCATATTCTCACTGGGTCCTATGTGTTCACCAATCACATGTTGTATATCATTATAGTCTGCCCTCCTGGTACCATATTCTCACTGGGTCCTATGTGTTCACCAATCACATCTTGTATATCATAGTCTGCCCTCCTGGTACCATATTCTCACTGGGTCCTTTGTGTGTTCAGCAATCACATCTTGTATATCATTATCATCTGCCCTCCTGTTACCATATTCTCACTGGGTCCAATGTGTGTTCACCAATCACATCTTGTATATCATAGTCTGCCCTCCTAGTACCATATTCTCACTGGGTCCTTTGTTTGTTCACCAATCACATCTTGTATATCATTATCATCTGCCCTCCTGTTACCATATTCTCACTGGGTCCAATGTGTGTTCACCAATCACATCTTGTATATCATTATCATCTGCCCTCCTAGTACCATATTCTCACTGGGTTCAATGTGTGTTCACCAATCACATCTTGTATATCATTATAGTCTGCCCTCCTAGTACCATATTCTCACTGGGTCCAATGTGTGTTCACCAATCACATCTTGTATATCATTATGGTCTGCCTTCCTAGTACCATATTCTCATTGGGGTCCAATGTGTGTTCACCAATCACATCTTGTATATTATTATAGTCTGCCCTCCTAGTACCATATTCTCACTGGGTCCAATGTGTGTTCACCAATCACATCTTGTATATTGTTATAGTCTGCCTTCCTGGTACCATATTCTCACTGGGTTCAATGTGTGTTCAGCAATCACATCTTGTATATCATTATCATCTGCCCTCCTGTTACCATATTCTCACTGGGTCCAATGTGTGTTCACCAATCACATGTTGTATATCATTATAGTCTGCCCTCCTGGTACCATATTCTCACTGGGTCCTATGTGTTCACCAATCACATGTTGTATATCATAGTCTGCCCTCCTGGTACCATATTCTCACTGGGTCCTTTGTTTGTTCACCAATCACATCTTGTATATCATTATCATCTGCCCTCCTGTTACCATATTCTCACTGGGTCCAATGTGTGTTCACCAATCACATCTTGTATATCATTATCATCTGCCCTCCTAGTACCATATTCTCACTGGGTTCAATGTGTGTTCACCAATCACATCTTGTATATTGTTATAGTCTGCCTTCCTGGTACCATATTCTCACTGGGTTCAATGTGTGTTCACCAATCACATCTTGTATATCATTATAGTCTGCCCTCCTAGTACCATATTCTCACTGGGTCCAATGTGTGTTCACCAAGCACATCTTGTATATCGTTATAGTCTGCCCTCCTGTTACCATATTCTCACTGGGTCCAATGTGTTCACCAATCATATTTTGTATATCATTATAGTCTGCCTTCCTGGTACCATATTCTCACTGGGTCCAATGTGTGTTCACCAATCACATCTTGTATATCGTTATAGTCTGCCCACCTGTTACCATATTCTCACTGGGTCCAATGTGTTCACAAAACATATTTTGTATATCATAATGGTCTGCCCTCCTAGTACCATATTCTCACTGGGTCCAATGTGTGTTCACCAATCACATCTTGTATATCATTATAGTCTGCCCTCCTGATACCATATTCTCACTGGGTCCAATGTGTGTTTACCAATCACATCTTGTATATCACACTATTCTCACTGGGTCCTATGTGTGTTCACCAATGTGTGTTCACCAATCACATGTGTGTATATCATTATATCATTATAGTCTGCCTTCCTGGTACCATATTCTCACTGGGTCCAATGTGTGTTCACCAATCACATCTTGTATATCATTATAGTCTGCCTTCCTGGTACCATATTCTCACTGGGTCCAATGTGTGTTCACCAATCACATCTTGTATATCAATCACATCTTGTATATTGTTACAGTCTGCCTTCCTGGTACCATATTCTCACTGGGTCTGAGGTTTTCACTAATCATGCCCTATATATCATCTTGGTACCATATTCTCACTGGACCTAATGTTAACAATGATTATGTCCTATACATCATCTTGGTACCATATTCTCACTGGACCTAAAGTTAACAATGACTATGTCCTATACATCATCCTGGTACCATATTCTCACTGGACCTAAAGTTAACAATGATTCTGTCCTCTACATCATCCTGGTACCATATTCTCACTGGACCTAAAGTTTACAATGATTCTGTCCTATATATCTTCACACATGTATCACCATATACTAGGTATCACATAACCAAACAGGTCTTACTACCACAAAATAGTAAATGCATGTTAATTATTTTGTATAATATGAAGATAGTGCTAATGTAATAAATTCATTGAAATATATTTTTGTCTCGCTGTTATGATGGGATATTTCATAAAATTTAGTTTTACAATTACAAGTCTAAGGGGCGGTGCATATCGATATGATTCTGATATTGTGGGTACAATACAATAATTATCTCTTTCCATTTTAATGCTTTCAATATGTCCATTAATTTCCTATGAACAAAAGCTCTGAAAAAAAATTTCATGAGAAGAGAAATCATGCCCAATGATTTTTTTATAGTATAAGTTTTAATTGTGTGATCACTGTGTCGATGGATTACACCTGCATGTTGCTTCTGTTTTCCTGTTGACCTTTGACCTTTGTACCCTGCAGTTGTTTCCAGAACAGGTAAGTAGGAGCACGCTTATACGGTGGAGAGACGAACAAAGAGATGGCACTCATTTATAGCTCTCACCCATTATATGTACTGGGCACCACACCGAATGTTGTTTTAATTTGAAGAAGAATATTGGTTGTCTGATCAGTTGTCTTGTAGGTGATATCATAGTCTCATTAACGAGCATGCTGCTAATTAGGTTTTTATGTACACATCAGAACATTGCATGATCTGAAATTTTTTTTATCCCAAACAGAAAATGTTGATGTACACTAGAACTCGTGTACTGTATAAGGATAAACTGGTCAGAGGATAATTCCTGTTATCACTTACATTTTAAAGTTATATTAACATTGTGTGACACAAGCAATGAATTAATTTTTATTGTCAAAAATAAAAACCATTTTTATGGAGGTTTGATATATAGTGTCACTAATGTCTATTCTGTTCCTAATTAATGTTATCAGCTCTATCAACTTTCTTTCTTTTGAGATTTTGACCAAAATTGATGCAAAGTCCAAATATGGGAATCTCTGATATCTTTGATAAGTTTGTGTTTCAGGGTTCCAAGGTCAAGGTCATTGTTACTGTTAACAGGTTATTGATAGTAATTTTGCATGGTAGTGAAGTCATCAGTAGTTATCTTATAGTACATTCTGTATTTATAGTCATTGCCTGATTTGCTAATTGGCTTCCTAATAATCGGTGTGAAGTTTAGAATTCATTCCCCCGACCAGAGATCGCATGACATACTGTTTGTTTGTGTTGAACATGGTGTCATCATGTTTGTTATATAGTAGACTCGCCATGCCCAACAAATTGTGTTTACTCACTAGAAATACACTTTTGATTTTAGTTGTTGATAAGATATACAGCATATATGATCTAATATCCCATTTTAGTTGACATTTGGCATGTAAAGTTCCTAGTATAAGTGCCATTAATACATTGTTGTTGAGTTTAATTAGAAATATGCATGTAGAAAATCATTTAAAAGTTATATCATTGATTGACCCAAAATCACATATCTTGATTGTAATATTTTGTTCAGCAAAGAGAGTTAAAAAGATGATGAAATTTAGATAATTCCATCCGAGAGGGGGCTTGTTGAGCCTCAACTTATTCACCTCAATTTATCTATCTTGTCTTAATCTCTGTTTACAATTTTTTCAAGGGTCACAATTTTAGCATTGAAAATTAGATCATTTCATTTTAACAAAATTATAGTTTTGCATTAATGATAAAAGTTATTACTTCATTTTCATGATATTGGTCACTATGTCAAGTTTCAAATTTGTGATTTCTGATTTATCAGTTGAAGTGTGATTCCATGCAACAATTTCTGTGAAGTAATGCTAGTATTGTATATCATGTATGTATCCTTGGATGATATAAAATATCTGAGTCAGTAATATTTGTTAAGTTTGATTTTTAATGGTGGTACCTGTCTGATTGATTACCTGTGTGACTTATGTTACCTGTCTAGTGACCTGTGTGACTGATGTTACCTGTCTGATTACCTGTGTGACTAATGTTACCTGTCTAGTGACCTGTGTGACTGATGTTACCTGTCTAGTGACCTGTGTGACTGATGTTACCTGATTACCTGTGTGACTGATGTTACCTGATTACCTGTGTGACTGATGTTACCTGATTACCTGTGTGACTGATGTTACCTGATTACCTGTATGGCCGATGTTACCTGTCTGATTACCTGTGTGACTGATGTTACCTGATTACCTGTATGACTGATGTTACCTGTCTGATTACCTGTGTGACTGATGTTACCTGTCTGATTACCTGTGTGACTTATGTTACCTGATTACCTGTGTAACTTACATTACCTGTCTGATTGATTACCTGTGTGAGTGATGATCTATGTGACTACTATTCATATGTGATTAGTGTTTCCTGTATGACTGATTTATTTTTAAAACAGATTGTTTTTGTAATGTTTTAGTCGGGACTGACTCCTCTTCATCTAGCTGCCCAGTCTGGTCACGAGGGACTTGTGCGACTCCTTCTCAACTCCCCAGGGGTACAGGCTGACGTCTCCACTAATGCTCAGGTGAGTTATCCTACAGATGTGCTCACCAGTTTGGCTTAATCAACTATTCTGGTAATAATGTCTGATAATTAATAATTAATGGTAAAGAGCCTGGTATCTATTGAGTGTTAATTTTATTTCCATGAATTATATCTCTTTCATATACTGGTAAATGTAAAATAAATGATATGTTAAATCTATAATGTACATCAAACCTGTTTGATTTTCTAGGGGGCTATTCCCCTCCATCTGGCTGCCCAGGGCGGACACACTGCTGTGGTCAGTCTCCTACTGAGTAAGTCTACAACACAACTTCATCTCAAGGACAAACGAGGTCGCACTGCTCTTCACCTTGCTGCAGCTAATGGCCACCTTGATATGGTTGCTCTGTTGCTAGGACAAGGAGCTGACATCAACGCCTGCGACAAAAATGGCTGGACAGCCCTCCATTTCTCAGCCAAGGCAGGCTACCTCACCGTTGTCAAGCTTCTAGTAGAGGGGGCAGCATCCCCCAAATTTGAGACCAAGGATGGTAAGGTACCGATTTGTTACGCAGCAGCTGCGAACCACTCAGACGTACTTAGTTATCTGATGAGAAAGGACCACAACACACAACATCTCATGGATGATAAAAAGGTAACTCTATCAACAAAATTCCTTGGCTTTCTTCAGCAAACCTTTTTCACATATTTTGTCTTAACATAATGCAAATGAATGTTGCACATGGTAACTACTACTAAATATGAAATGTTACCTGATGTATATATATACCTTGAGCATCCTCAGTGGTCTTTAAGATAAGTTCCTTACATCTAATTTCACTGTGTAGAACTTGAACATAATTGTACATCATTTTTGTTTTATAATATTCTTTAATGGTTTTAAGGAGAGGTTATAAATACACATCCAGAAAGCAATAGATTGAGTTAATAGAAGAATTAACAAATATCTTTTTCTTCAACACAACTGAAATATGTTTCTTTATCATCATCCAGAAGGTAATTGTAGACGACTATATTCATAGCTGAACAACATTTGTGAGTGTAATTCGTTTTCTGTTTTACAGTTTGTGTTTGACTTGATGGTTTGTGGGAAGATGAACAACAATAAGTGTATTGAGGAGTTCATCCTTCTATCTCCAGCTCCAGTGGACACTGCCGCTAAAATGTCCAAAAACTTCCGTCTCCTGGCTATAAAGGAGAAGGAGAGGTCACGTGACCTAACATCTGCGGGTAACTACTGTGAATTCATGGCAACAGAGCTGTTGGCAATTGCAGCAAGTGCTAATAGTGCAGGTACACTACTGAAGGCAGTCGACTGTCACGGTACACAATTCCTGGATGTACTGATTGAGCACGAGCAGAAGGAAGTGGTGTCACACCCCGCAGTACAGAAGTATCTGTCAGATGTGTGGGTGGGAAATCTACGTTGGGCCACCTGGAAGATTGTGATGCTGTTCATGGCCTTTCTGTTTATTCCAATTGTATGGCTCATATTCTCCATGCCACTTAAACACAGGTTTAACAAGGTGCCTATTATCAAGTTCATGGCTTATCTAGTTTCTCATCTCTACCTGATGATCCTGTTTTCACTAACCGTGGTTTTACCTCTCGTACCCATTTGGCAGTCAGGCAGCCTGATCCCCCACTGGTATGAATGGCTGCTTCTTGCATGGTTGTCTGGCCTCCTTGTGTCTGAACTTACAAATCCAGGAGACCGTGGTGGCCTTGGCTGGATCAAGGTCATCTCCATAGGACTCAGTTCCATTGGAATTTTCGTCCATGTTATAGCTTTTGCATTCGACACACAAAACCGACTGCTCATGTTATACATCAGAAACCAATTCTTCGCATGTGCACTTCTTATGTCTTTTGTACAGTTGCTGGACTTTTTGTCATTTCATCATCTATTTGGACCTTGGGCAATTATCATCAGAGATTTGTTGAAAGACTTAACACGATTTTTAGTTATTTTGTTAATATTTATCACAGGTTTTACTTTACACCTCTCTGCAATATACCAGCCAGTGTACAGTCCTGTGGCTGAAAACAGTGCCCTCGGGACAGGTGTTGGTAATGGAGAACCTTTAACCTACATGACACCAATTGACACATTTGAGTTACTTTTCTTCTCCCTTTTTGGGTTGGTAGACCCGGAGAGTCTGCCCACCACCTACAGGAGTCCATTCTGGGTGATAAGTCTCGCTAAGATTGTGTTTGGGATCTACATGATGGTCACACTCATTGTGCTTATCAACCTTCTCATTGCCATGATGTCGGACACCTACCAGCGAATCCAGCAACAGTCCGACATGGAGTGGAAGTTTGGCCGAGCCAAACTTATCAGGAATATGAATAAGACTTCTGCGACTCCTTCTCCTCTGAACCTGTTCACAAAGCTCATCACCTACTGTCGAGTGGCCTATAAACATAGGGGTAAGTACCAGTGTTTACTGGGCATCTTATTTAATACTGAGGTTAAAATCTCAGAATTAATTTTATATCAGACTCTCATCCTTCTGTTGTTTCCAGATTGATGTTGTAATTGATTAGAACTATAAATGTCAACCTTCACAGAATTTCCAACTTTCACCAAATGGATTAAACTTTATCATTGTTGCAAAACATTAGCTTAATCAGGTCACAGTGACCATGACCTCGGATCTCTGAAACTTTTAAAAAAAGGACCTTGAAACTGCATTTAAATGCAGCTGAAACTTTTTGAGTCAGTATGTAAACATGGTCAAATTATTTCATTATTTAACATCTTTTTAAGTCCTAAACCCTTGGGTTGGAAGGTCATAGGTCAAGAACAAATCAGCATTGATGTGATAATCATGTAAAAACAGAAAATAAAATGGCAAGTTCTATATATATTCTTTCAAACTTTGATATGTCCATTAGTGAGGTCAGAGATTTAAGGGAAGTTCTACAAATACATGGGATTTATCATACTCTTCTTCATATTCTTACTTTTATTAACAGTATGAGTGACACATTAATGTGGATTATTTTTAGTCAGGAAGATTATTTCATCTTAGCTGCTGCAGAAAGTTAGCCATGAATTCAAATATCAAAATCATTTAGAAAAAAAAAAAAAAACATTGTGGGAGTTGTCTACCCTTGCTTCTGTTGTAGGTAAGCTCTGTAATGGTCAGTCTCAGGACTTTGTACATGAGGATGAGGATCTAGACAATGTCTCTGACTCTCGATCAGTTGACCTCCTTGCTCACAATTCTGTGAGTTGGCTACGCAATGTTGTGCGACGAAATACACAGGTTGCTCCAGAAGGTAATCACAATTTACATCTCGCTGCTGGAAAAATTATCTTTTGAAAACTTTTATTTATTATCACATGTGTAAATAAATTCCGAGAGAGCTGATATTGAAGAGGCTAATCATCTGTAGATGATAAATTCATAGGGATTCTCTCTCTTGGCAAAGCAGATCATCAATATCATACTTGTATAAATATGAAAAAGTTACATGTGTTGTAATGCAAACCATTTAATGCCATAGACATACTACGATCAAGATAAGGAAATATTCAGGGCATGAAGGTCATGGGATATTGATGTTATCTTTTTCTGACAGGTGGTTTCTTGCGTGTGGGTGGTCACCATGGTCCACAGCGCCTGGAGGATGTCGTAGATTGGTTGATGGTGGTAAAGAAATACCTCTCAATGCAGGGAAGAGAGGATAGTGACCATACAATCACTGATGAGGATGATGTTGAAAAAAATGGTGACATTACTGGAAATATGATCTACAAAATGGGGGCACAAGACAACATGGAGAAGTCTAACAAAGACCACAAATCCTAGCCATGGTAACTGATATACACTGTAGATAGGGCTGTGATGACAGAGTACAAACAATCTTAAGGAAAAACTATTGACCAATACCAGTGTAATATGAAATTCCTAAAGATTGGACTGAAGCCGTATAGAAAGTATATGTAGGGCTGTTTCCAAATTACTTGTCATAATATGACTAGTTTGGTGTTCCTATGTATAAACTTTTTGCTTTCTGATGAGAATTGACATCATTTTGAAGTCTGTTATATGCAAGAAAGGCTATCTTTGAAAAAAAAAAGGACCGATTTATTTGCTGAAGAAAGTAGCCCCGATAAGGAGTGATTAATTTGACTGTGATACTAGAGTTATTCCCCTTGTGGGACTTGACCGGTGTTTTTAATTATTGACTACATGAAATTATCACATATAAACAATTACAGTGGTAGTGTTATACATCAGGTGTGACATGTTTGATAAAGTGTATAATATTTTTCTTTAAAATTTTCTAAACAAATAATTTTGTTCCACCTTTATTAATTATAAGTACAATTTTAGTGTTGTGATTCTTGACAGCTTTAATTACTTATAGCAGAGATATGATACAAATTGCTTTCAATATCAAAATACTTCTATCTGCTCTCAATATTTTCTCTGCTTCTCCTGACATTGTTACAAATACAACAGGACTGTAATTCCCACACATGTTGTGTATTGGGGGCCAATGCACCTAGAGAGTTCAGATTGTACTATATTATAAACAGAGATATACAGTACCGGGTATGCTTAAATTGAAACCAAAATAGAGTTGAATATTAAAGGCTGTAACACATACTCTAACATACTCATAGGGGCTGTTTTACAAAGAACAGTTTTTGAGTAAGTGATTCATCTTTTGTTTACCTCTCGTTTACTATTTGTTTATTGTTTTGTTTCAGGTTACATGTTATCCTCTAATTAACTTTTCATTTCTTGATTAAAAGCCAAATATGTGCTTTTGTATCCTAGATTTTGAGGACGACAATCAAATTGGTTTTAATTATAAATTGTTGATTCGATGTTTTCAGTATTTGTTTTCCATATATTTTATCTACAATATATTACAATATGTGATCCGTCCTGTATACAGTGTCAAATAAAGTGTTTGTTAAAAACTCTGCCATTGGGTATTTTGTTTGTTACAATCTGTCCTATTGGGTAAGTAATTTGTTGCAAGTTGCCGTACTGTTCTTTCAAGCTGATTATTTCCTTAAATGTATAAACACCAGAGAAGAATATATTCAAGTTGTTTTATCCTATAATCATTGCAGTCCCTTCTTTCCAACACATTGTTCTATGAACTCAGGGGCTTGTTTGTTAAACATCTGCCTATTGGTCACTAGTTTATTACAAGCCAGCCTTGTCAGTGCTGTGCTACAAACTGTCCTATTGGTCACTAGTTTGTTACAAGCCAACATATAGGTCATTCATGTGTTACAAGCTGTCCTATTGGTCACTAGTTTGTTACAAGCCAACATATAGGTCATTTATGTGTTACAAGCTGTCCTATTGGTCACTAGTTTGTTACATGTCATCCTACTGGTCACTTCTGTGTTACAGGCTGTCCTATTGGTCGCTAGGTTTTTGTACATGTCATTCTATTGGTTGCTTCTTCTTCACAATACATCCTGTTGGCCACTTCTGTGTTACAGGCTGTCCTATTGGTCACTAGTTTGTTACATGTCATCCTACTGGTCACTTCTGTGTTACAGGCTGTCCTATTGGTCATTAGTTTGTTACATGTCATCCTACTGGTCACCTCTGTGTTACAGGCTGTCCTATTGGTCACTAGTTTGTTACATGTCATCCTACTGGTCACCTCTTTGTTACAGGCTATCCTATTGGTCACTAGGTTTTTGTACATTTCATTCTATTGGTTGCTCCTTCTTTACAATACATCCTGTTGGCCACCTCTGTGTTACAAGTTGTCCTATTTATCCATAGTTTTGTACATACATTTGTATCATCCTTTTGGTTGCTTCTTTGTTAAAAGCTGTCTCATTGGTCAGTTAATAGTCCCCAACAAGTAACCAAGGGATGGAAGTCAAGTTAGTTTGCATTCTATTCATCCCTCCATTTCCTGTCTTTCCTTTCACATAAGTTATCACTGAGACTTCAGTGCATTCATGACAAGTAATTCCACTTTCAGTGAGTGGACCAGCTGTTCTATTAATTCTTAGGGAGGTTATTTTGATGTCCTAAACAAATGCTTTGGAGTTTTACTGATTATATTAATTTTGTACATTGGGTTAATCTATTAACAAATACTTTGCCAAACAAATTTGGTCTCCTGTTTTTTTCTTTACTTTCCTTATTTGACATTTTTAAAAGCACGCATTAAATACAAATTAAAACTAAGATGTATATTTTTTTCCAAATAAAAACTCTGTAATATTTAACTATCCTTTTAACACAAACAATAAACAAAAATATTCAACTGAATAAAGGCATTTTTATTGAGTCAAAAAGTTGAGAAACAGATGATAATATTGCAAAAGTGTTGATGCATTTTGATTTTCTCTTATTCTTGTATATATCTGACATGTCATGCTGCAGTATTACAAGTTCTCAATAGACTGAACATATGATACTTTTCTCACCGATAATACACAGTAACATTAAAAGTACCGATGTGTATCAATCAGTACTGTTACCATGGTTACATTCTAAACAATAAAAGCTCTGTGGTAAGTTTGGAAGTATTCTTCTACTGGTCATGGAAATCAGTGCTGTTCCTGCCTGACAAAGACACAGGAAGGAACAGAAAACATAATAATATTCAGACTTGAATAAGTTCAAAACTTCACCTACATGGTGTAGTAAGTACACTTTTGTCAACAATCCACATAGGCACTGAGACTTAGTTGTAAAGTTTTTGTTTGATAAGTCAACTGCCAAAGGTATGAACTGATCAACACTCCCCTGAGATAAAGGAATGTTAAAGTTTCCAATAACATTTTTCAATCAATCTTGCTTGGTCACAAAAAGTCTTGGCCAATATTTATAACTCACAAGCAGTGCCCTCATGAGCCAATGTAAAATGTACTCTGTAGAGGGCAAGTGACACCCTCACTACTCTGTAGAGGGCAAGTGACACCCTCACTACTCTGTAGAGGGCAAGTGACCCCTTACTATTCTGTAAAGGGCAAGTGACACCCTCACTACTCAGTAGAGGGCAAGTGACCCCCTTAATGCTCAGTAGAGGGCAAGTGACACCCTCACTACACAGAAGAGGGCAAGTGACATCCTCATTACTCTGTAGATGGCAAGTGACCCCCTCACTATACTGTAGAGGGCAAGTGACACCCTCACTACTCAGTAGTGGGCAAGTGAAATCCTCATTACTCTGTAGAGGGAAAATAACATCTTTACTATTCTGTAGAGGGCAAGTGATATCCTCATTACTCAGTAGAGGGCAAGTGACACCCTCACTACTCAGTAGAGGGCAAGTGACACCCTCACTACTCTGTAGATAGCAAGTGACACCCTAACTACTCAGTAGAGGGCACGTGACATCCTTATTACTCTGTAGAGTTCAGGTAACACACTCACTTTGCTGTAAGAGGGCAGGTGATGCCCTCACTACCATGTAGAGCATAGGTGACACAGTTACAGTTCTGTTGAGGGCAAGTGACACCCTTACTACTCTGTAAAAAGCAGGTGAAACCCTTACTATTTAGAGGGCATGTGACAGACGGTAGGTAATATTTTACACTCTTGTCTACAAGAAATGGGCAATAACCTTCACACTTGGTTGATATACATAAGATTCCATAACACATTTAACATGTACTGAATAGCCACAAAAAAAATTTGTAAACAATATGTACTGAATGGTGTTAACAATGAACTCTAAATGAATAAATGCATCAAAAATCTTATCAAAACAGAAGATCAAGGAATTGTCGTTAAAAGCTCCCAAGGATGTTTCGTAAGTACGAATATGCAGGTGTACTACCTAAGACGTGACCACTTTAACATCAACTGTAAAGTCAAACTTTCAAACCAATTTTCCCATTAAATTCCTATGAGTATAATTAGATGCTGACTTTAGATATCATTTTCTTAAAACAATTACAAATAATTATCAAAATCAATAATTAATTTTTTACCAAAAAGAACATTTTATTTGTTTTTCTCTATACGAATTTAATCGATAAAAGAATGATTAATGCCAAACTGAAATTATGAAATTGAAATTACTTCTAAGTGATAAGCTATCTGGACAACATGAAATGTTAACAATGGAAATTATATATAAAAATTAACCATCATGCAACACCAATAAAACATTTTCTTATCATTAATCATTCATAAGCATTGAAATGTTTACAAGATCTTCAGGATAACTTTATATAGATATAAGTCACACTAACGATTCTGTAATAATCTGTTGGATACTGTAAGCAAACAAGAGGCCAAAGGGCCTTAACGGTCACCAGAGTCACAATGCTTCTTGTAACATGTCATAGAAACGGTATTGTAAGTAAGATAACTTTAAATACTTTGTACATATAATGCAAATGTGAATTGTGAATAATATTAACTGCTGTTCCATGCTAAGGCTTCTGACCAAGTTTTAAATAAAAGAAATTAAACTAAAAAATTGAACTTTCCTACATAAAATCTTCCATCCAGGAAGGTAGAGCATCTTGGAAATTTCAGTCAATTTGACCTATTTTTGGCCAATTTCTAAATATGTGTATCTCATCAAACCGTCATCTTAAACTAAAAATTCTAACCAGGTTTGAACTATTTCCAATAAAAAATAAACTAATGATATTAAAAAAAGTAATTTTCTTATATAATTCATCGTAAAATTTACCCTCTCCCCAGGGAAAATGTGAGACCCTGGGGTCATTAAATTTACAATTTTGGTAAAGCATCTGAAGACCTTTCGATCCATGAAGAGTGCTTGATTCTACCACACCTGGGATTTCAGAAGATTTTTCTAAGTTTCAATCAATTTGACCCTTTTTCTGGCCCCGCCCCTTAGGCTCCTGGGGGTCAGGGATCATTTAATTAAAAATTTTGGTGCGCCTTTAGCCATGGAAGGATTTCATAAAATTTCATTGAAATCAGTACAGGAGTTTTCCAGAAGTAGTCAAAAATGTTAAAAGTTAACGATGCATGACACTGGACAAAAGGGGATAGCAATAGATCACCTAGAGACTTTGTCTCGGTAACAGAATAAAAACAAAGAAACATGAATCTGTATTAAAAAAATGTATGTACGCAACTCTCAATGTCATTTTAAACTATCTGTTACAAGTTCTGCTTGTAATGAAAAATAAATTCATGGTTTTTTGGTGAAAGTAAATGTTTGTAAAATTTTCCTGCAATCAGGCTTCATTATTAGGTCACTGTGCAACAACATCCATGTCAGCAAGATGATTTCCACCAATACACTCTATATTAGAAATGTATCAATGTCCTAGGGTTGTCTTTAGGGTGGACCTACTGATTTTGTTTCGCCAACACACTGTCCCTGTTGAACAGAACAGAAGTCATGGACAACATGAATCATAAATACTTGTGATACAACATTGAACAATCTGGTGGATGGTCCCAGGATTTTCTAACACAAACACAATTAAACAGGAGTTAATCAATATAAAGGTCAGATGACCTTGTTCTTTATCTGTATACATCAATATATAGGTCAGGTGACCTTGTTCTTTACCTGTATACATCAGTATATAGGTCAGGTGACCTTGTTCTTTACTTGTATACATCAGTATATAGGTCAGGTGACCTTGTTCTTTACCTGTATACATCAGTATATAGGTCAGGTGACCTTGTTCTTTATCTGTATACATCAATACATAGGTCAGGTGACCTTGTTATTTACATATACATCAGTATATAGGTCAGGTGACCTTGTTATTTACATATACATCAGTATATAGGTCAGGTGACCTTGTTCTTTATCTGTATACATCAATATAGAGGTCAGGTGACCTTGTTCTTTACCTGTATACATCAATACATCAGTATATAGGTCAGGTGACCTTGTTCTTTACCTGTATACATCAGTATATAGGTCAGGTGACCTTGTTCTTTATCTGTATACATCAATATACAGGTCAGGTGACCTTGTTCTTTACCTGTATACATCAGTATATAGGTCAGGTGACCTTGTTCTTTACCTGTATACATCAATATACAGGTCAGGTGACCTTGTTATTTACATATACATCAGTATATAGGTCAGGTGACCTTGTTCTTTACCTGTATACATCAATATATAGGTCAGGTGACCTTGTCTTTACCTGTATACATCAATATATAGGTCAGGTGACCTTGTTCTTTATCTGTATACATCAATATATAGGTCAGGTGACCTTGTTCTTTACATATACATCAGTATATAGGTCAGGTGACCTTGTTCTTTATCTGTATACATCAATATATAGGTCAGGTGACCTTGTTATTTACATGTACATCAGTAGATAGGTCAGGTGACCTTGTTCTTTACCTGTATACATCAATATATAGGTCAGGTGACCTTGTTATTTACATATACATCAGTATATAGGTCAGGTGACCTTGTTCTTTACACAAAATATATAGGTTCAGGTGACCTTGTTCTTTAATGTATACATCAATATATAGGTCAAGAGAGTTGTTCTTTAGAAACTGAATATATGGAGTGAGGGGTTGTTATTTACATATACATCTATATAGCACTATTACCACAAAAAATGAGTTACCAGAAAGCGTTTAAACAACAACAGGATATTGAATGATAAAACCAAACACGAAATATAGAAAACAACATCAAAACAATTACTCAAAATAATGACTAGTCAGTACCTTAAAGCTGTGACAGTGACCAATGTTTTCTTACTAACATTTTATGAGAATTATATGATATGAAATAACAAAAAAAATTATATTAACATGTTATGAGAAAACAAAAAAAATAAAATTATAATTGTCCTAACATTTTCAGGAAATGGTGAGATGTCACTGGCAAAAAATTGTATAAGTTGAGTAAAATCAGGACACTATGTTGTAGTTTTCTATGTTGATATCACAATAAATCATATACAATATAACAATAGACACATATTCCATACTTATCCACCTTTACATTCATATACTGTATAACAAATGAGGAAGTTATTCCCCCTTGTTACCATGAGATCTGTTAGTCCTCCAGGGCAAGCTGACACCAAAATGAGATGAGATAAAGTGTGTAATCTAAGGCTCTATCTATACATACTAACAGTAGTGTATAAAAAAAACTGTCAAAAACAGAGATTCTGTTTATTATACAACATTTTATTTTTCATCAATTCCATTCACAACTGTTAATTAGTATGTCGGGATTGACTAACAAACAATTATATTACTGATAAACTAAGAATAACACTACCAACAGTTTGTCTTTATTTAATTATTGTATTGTTTTCTGTTGGTATTCAAAGATAATGTAAATGCCAATAAGACAAATTCAATTAGTGTGCATTAAAAATTCTGTTACAAGCAAGGGGAAGCAACTACAACTTCTTAACAGTGATATTGGCAGTTCTTGTCAGAGTCAAACAACCAGCTGGTCAGTTTCTAGGAGACAGTAAATACTCAGGTCAATTTCTATACAGCCTGAGGAGAAATAAACCTTTTGACGTCTATGTTATTACAGAAAATAATTACAACATAAATTTGAAATGGATGTAACAAAAATCATCTGTAAATATCAAACACCAATATTTTTTTCCACATCATTTTGCCACACACTTGTCAAGTACAATAAACTGAGTATATTAATGTACCTGTCTCTTGTCTTGCAGGTTATCAGTTTGCCATAGATCAGTGCGATACAAAATGTTGAGTATACAAATGAACCTGTCTATTGTCTTGTAGATAATCATTTTGTCTCACACCTGTACAGTACATTATGTTGAGTATACAATTGTACTTGTCTGTTGTCTTGTAATCATTTTGTCTCACACCTGTACAGTACATTATGCTGAGTATACCAATGTACCTGTCTATTGTCTTGTAGGTAATCATTTTGTCTCACACCTGTACAGTACATTATGTTGAGTATACCAGTGCACCTGTCTATTGTCTTGTAGGTAATCATTTTGTCTCACACCTGTACAGTACATTATGTTGAGTATACCAGTGCACCTGTCTATTGTCTTGTAGATAATCATTTTGTCTCACACCTGTACAGTACATTATGCTGAGTATACCAATGTACCTGTCTATTGTCTTGTAGATAATCAAACATCATTAATACCAGTATTTTGTGTGAAATTTTAAATAATTGTTAACAGCAAATTAATAGTGAAAGCAACAATGACATGTTATAAGCTGGATACATTAAAAGAGTGATTGTGTAACTGGTGGGAAAAATAACACAAACATAACTACAAGCACTACATTTAGATCCATGCAAGATAATACAGAATTTATCTTCAACATAACCTCACTAAAATCATAATCAACAAAGGGACAAAACTTCTTAACATCATCAACACAACAACAGTAAACAAAGCACTGATATCTTTAGTAGGGTTATAAGACCTCTATTGAAGGACAACTCACTGGGATTGCTGTAGAATATGGTGTATCTATATGTATAATTACCTATACCAACTGAGATAAACACTCCAAGATGTTTTATGAATGACACGAAATTTAAGGAAAATCCTTAATCCAACGTACAATTTTGCTAAAAGGGAACAATATTTGAGATAGCAAAGCTAAAATATATGTTAAGAGACCCCAGATATGTTTTAATTAAGCAAAATAGTCAGCTCAAGGATTGAAAAAAAAACATCAAGAATTTTTCTGATTTCCTTAAACTTTGAAAGATACCTGATAAAAATATTTGTTGGGTATGAGATATTGAAACATGGCTATTTTCACTTTACCAGAGACTAAATATAGGTCACTGATCTTACGCAGTGTAACTAAGCTAAATATAGGTCACTGACCTTACGCAGTGTAACTAAGCTAAATATATTGTAAACCGGTCAAGCAATGCTAAAATAAAAAATCTACACATAAGTGAATAATGCATATTGCACCTCTGTTTACACCTGAGCTTATCACATCCTGACCTGAAAAGCAGAGGTCACTTCTATGACCTTGAACTTCTGAAGTTAGTAACTCAAATTTTGTCCAGGCAATGCTTCAATTACCAGTAACTGAGTTAAAGTCTCTTAAAACTCCGCAATAACAGTCTAAAGTTACCATCCTGACTTTACCAACTAAAAATGCCACTGACTTTCAAAGTTACTACAATCACTTCACTGACCTTCCATGTTGACAGTGTGGTTTACTGTAGACATCTGACTTCTGTTACATAAATAATTGTAAATACCCATACATGTAGGAAATTCAATAAATATATCATTGAAATATCAATTAATCATGACTACTATTAAAATAAATAAATGGTAGATGAAGAGTATGACATAACACAAATTTTAAAATCTGTGAAATAAGTAATAAAAACTCTTTAACAAAGCAAGTTGATGTGTTAACCACCAAGCAAAGCATTCAAAAAACTAACACATATACCATTATGCTAAAATGATCTAATATCAAGGCAGATAATTTACTGTAAATTTATCATAATACATATCACAAAAATTAAAAAATAACTACATTGTACAGTCTACTACGGCAAACCAAAACATTTAAATAAAAATTTTCTTTAAACAAATGAAAAAAATACCATAAGATTTTCTGTAGATGTGATGCTACCTGTATTATAACTGATGTGTAGGCTTATGTGTGACAATCAATGAATCTCCGCTAATATATTCAACACTTGAAAATGAACGTAACAACAACATAAATCTTCATGTATAATGAAAAATCTGTCTCAAGTCAATAAAGTCATATACATGTAGATCATTGTAACAGAATGAAGTGATTTTTATGACATAAATGCATGAGATCTTCTGATCAAACATACAGAGATGAAAATACATAGATGAAATTTAACATGACCCGATATTGATATGGACACATCAGCGTCGATGATCCTACTGGTCTAGAGGTCAGCTTATACATCACACTCCCTTCTTAACATTGAGACACCTCAGATTAGACGGAGACAGACTGCCATCAGAAATGTCCAGTGATTTTTGCCTGAGGTATCAATGTCTTAAAAATCACAAACAAAATCCAACAATTTGTGTCAATATGCACAGAATATTTTTTGTTAGAGAGGGAGGGGTCTATCCACAATTTCATTAAACATTTTGATGAGGTTTGCAAGGCCAAGGAGATAGCCCTCATCCGGCCCCTTGTGTACTGTTTTATCGCCCTGAAAGCCACTGTGTGTACTGTGTGCAAAGTCTATCATTTTCACATCCACATTTGGGATCTGTCCACCACGCAAATAGACCATGTTCGAGGGTTGATCACCCTCCGATACACAACTTGTGTTACTGTCACTGTCTTCATGTTCAAGTTCCCGCTCTCCAGCCGAGTGGGACTGTCCGTGTCTACTGGTGGAAGCTGTATTACCGTTGCCCACCACACCATCATACATGATGAGGAGAGAACTAGAGTAAAAGCGGAATGTGTCCTGTTCTGTCACACTTTGGTGCAAGTCTTGTAGGCGTTTCACTATCTCGTGTACCAGTTCTGTCCGCAGTGTGTGACCATTATGTAAGAACTGACACAAAGCCTGTTTAAAACCTTCCACCGATAGGCTTCGTCCATAGTACTTGTTGTGACAAATGTATTTCTGGGTGTTGGCCTGGTAAACCTGATATCATATACAAAAAATATTGAAAAAGTGAAAACTTGTTGACAAGCTACTCTATCAATGAGGTAAAGGATTAATAAAACAAACAACAAAATAATCATCTAATTTACTGTAATTACTGACTGAAAAATGTCCAGTTTCCTGAATTTACAATTAGTTTTGTACTTGTTGGTTTTAAATGTTTTTTGAAAAATTCTCAATTAGTTCTAACTATGATTAAATGAAGATGAATTCACATACTAAAAGTATTTTCTTTATTCAACAATATGATCAGGTTTGGTAATTAGCTCATCCATATCTATCACTGCTCAGCAGAATAACCAACAAATGCTCTATCAATTTTCTGTGATAACAATGTTCTATACTTTGTAAGGTATAAAGGTCCTCACGGCCTTTTACAGAAATACAGAATCCATTAACACCTTTATACCACTGAAATTTGCAATCTATATCAGGAATTATCTGCCCTTAGATTTGTACCTGCATGCCACAGATGCGAACACCGAGGACACTTGACGTTGACTGTTCACATTTTTTAATGTGACTTTGTTTCTTGGCCTCTGGGACGTCATCTCCATGTTGTCGTGTTCCCATTTTCAGGTCCAGAATACAGGGGTAATCACATTGAGCTGCAATATTCTCCAGCAAAATAAACTCTGTCAAAGGTCAAGGATCACTACTCTTCTCACAGACAAGAAAAAGACAACTTTGCTACATTTGGTCATCAAATATTATCCTGTAATCCTACACAGACAGTATGTAAATCTTTATCACAACATTGATGTTTTACATCCACTGAAGACATATTTCTAGGTATCAGCTTATGTAATATGACCTGTTACGACAATAAATATTCATCATAAAATGATATTATACTTGCAGATTACATGTCACCATGGAGACCACACCTATAACAATAGGATGACAAGGTAAAGGTATTTCTCTATAACCTAAAAAAAATATTGATCCTGCAACAAAAAAAAAACTGCTTCCATAACATTTAAGATTTATGGAGCTTGTTATATAAAGTTACAAATAGTTTACTTTAGATCAAAACAGGTTGGCTGATATGACAAATTCTCAGTCTTGTTTCATAAATCTTTTACACAATGGAAATTAATTTATGATCCTATATAGAGCCGAAACTTGTTATCTTGAAATTCAAGGGACCGTGGGAAATATTTTGACTTAGCCAAATTCTGACTCAATAGCACGATACACTGTGGTACAAACCACGTAATTTAATCTCTCATTTGAAATGGCAGTAAACAAACAGAAAAAAATTAATTTCTACTTTCTCCTTTTATTGTTTATTCCTTTGGAAACAAAACCTGTAATAAAAACACCAATCAACTACATTTATATTCAAGTCGTTCCGTCCCACACATGTGTAAACTTATCTTCCTGACTAAGCACATATACATCATATATTTCATGAAATAACAATAAAATGAAAATTAAAATTTGCTTTTGATATGTTATAAGAAACGATGCATGAAGCTCCAGATCATATGACTTTATTATGAATAAATAAACATATGAAAAACGCAGCACTAGAAAGTTTTAACCTGTCATTGAAAACATTATACAAGCACCAGACTTAGGCAAATCTAACGCAAAACAAATCAGGCACAGATGACAGGCAACTTTCTACTCTGTGTATGTATTGACAGATTTCGTCTGAAGACGAGCTTCAACTGTATATTCTGCTTTTTTAAGTCAATTGACATAAGTAAGACATTAATATAATTATAGCACAGAGTATTAATAATGAATAATCTAATTAAAAATCTTTACTATCTCACGCTTTCTTGGCCACAATTATATAGTACTGAAAGACAATAAAGGATACTACTAGTGAAAGAACCTGCACCCTGTGTGATACGCCTCATCTTGGACAGTTGGCGTTTGTGGCATTTAAGGCTCCAGGGATTGATCCCCTCTGTCTTGTCATGCTTGCCTGATTTAGGATCATTCATATGGAACACCTTCTCTGTCTGTGTGCTCACTTCAAGGCTACCACTCCTCAGCAATCTCACACTACAAGGTCAAGGTCATATATATAGACATCAAACTACATACGATTCATACCTATACACAAAGAACAAGGTTAAGATTATATACTTGTACTTACTATATTATGATCTACAGAGTATTCTAGCTTTCTAGCACAACAGCTTTAACTGGTTAATGACATTGGTTATGCAAGGTCACACAGATCACTATCATATGACCTTTGGCCAATCATGTCTGTGACTTACAGGTCATTTGGCTGGTCATGTTTATGTGTGATTCACCTGTTCAGAAGTATGTGACTGGTCAGAACTATTTGTGACTAACTTGTAGTGGTCAGTTGGCTGGTCATGTCTGTGTGACTCACCTGTAGTGGTCAGTTGGCTGGTCATGTCTATGTGTGATTCACCTGTTCAGAAGTATGTGACTGGTCAGAACTATTTGTGACTAACTTGTAGTGGTCAGTTGGTTGGTCATGTCTGTGTGACTCACCTGTAGGGGTCAGTTGGCTGGTCATGTCTGTGTGACTCACCTGTAAGGGTCAGTTGGCCGGTCATGTCTGTGTTTGGTATTAAGGACGGGACTAACTGTATCTGTATCACTCTCGCTGGATGCTGGAGACGTGTTCCTGGTGACCTTGCCACTCTCAGGAGGGTAACCAATCAGTGTAATATAGCCCTCACTGTCTTCATGTAGCTGCACCTCGATAACCCCTACAAATCAGTTTTAATGAATGAAACTGGTCTATTTACAGCCTTTTTTGTTTTGTTCCGAATATTGCTAACCAGAAGTAAAAATCATGTATAGATAGTATACTAAAACCTTCACCTTCTTTAAAACATAAAAGTTAGAGACCATCCCAACAAATACATAAAAATGGTTAATTTCTACCTCAGTTTAAATATGAGAAAATTGTTGTTTTCAATTTTTTATAAATTGTTTTCCACCTACCCTTTCTTTTTACCAGTAAAGTTCTATTTTTTTCACTTGATGAAGGAAGATTGATATAGAGCTTAATGTACAGAATTAGGGTACGCCTATAGGTCTATAACGCACAAAGTGAAAATTTGAAAAATTGTGGGCTAGGGTCTACATCTATAAAATAGAGTACAAAAACCAAATTATTATTTAGCAGAATACTCATAATTTAAGCTAAAGAAGAGGCCCAAGGGCCTTAACAGTCACCGGAGTCACAATGTTTCTTGTAACATGTCATAGAAATGACTTTGTTAAAAAAAAAAGACTTCAACTACAATGTACACATAATGCAAATGTAAATTGTGCTTAACACTAACTGCTGTTCCATGCTAAGGCTTCTAACACAATATGAATTAAAAGAAATTATACCTCAAAATGTAATTTTCCTACAAAATGTGAGACCATAGGGTCATGAAATTTACAATTTTGATAAAGCATCTGAAGGCCTTTCTATCCATGAAGAGTATTTTTTTTTTTTTTTATTTTTTATTCTACCCTGCCTGGGATTTGAGAAGATTTTTGAAGTTTCAATCAATTTTGACCCTTTTGGCCTGCCCTCAGGCACCTGGGGGTCAGGGACCACATAATTTACAATTTTGGTGCACCTTTAACTATGGAAGGTTTTCGCAATTTTATTGAAATTAGTTGAAAATGTTAAAAGTTTATGACACACAAAACACAATGCACAACAAAAGGGAATTGCAATAAATTGTGCAGAAAAACATTATCCTTAATGTACATTTACAGAATTTAACAAAAAGTTCCCCTAAATACAATAACTGTATTAAATCATTGGTAAGAATGTCCCTGTGTTAGCTACCTGTAAACTTACAAAAGGAGAGAGATATCTGTCACTAAGAACTAGTATAGAAATAAACAAAGTGGAATAGTGAAAGTCTATACCAATGCAAAATTAATGAAAACTAATTTATTTGCATGTTCAATAATAATAAATACATGCATATTTACACAGTTATGGATTTTATGAAGTAAGTCATTAAAAGAAATTATCTTTCACTATTTTAATTGGAAACAAACCACACTTTTATCAAAATCAATAAAGTGAAACTGGAATTCATGTTTCCGTACATAGATATCAATACTGCACACAAGAATAAACAATTGATCACAAATGAACTGCATTCAGTCAGACATAGACATATGCTATTTGGATCAATTCGAAAAATTAAATAATACATAACATATATGTATCTTGTTTCAAAATGATAATTATCTTGTTTAAATGTTAGTTATCTCATCTAAAATGTGATAATCATCACATTAAAACATGTTAGAAACCTTGTTTTAATACATTATTTAATATATCTCCTTTAATGAGACAATGATCTCATTAAACACAATAATATTATAATCCTTATAATGAGTTCATTTTAACATTAAAACTCGTTCCAGGCCTAACGTTTATACAACAAGAGCACCGCAAAGCAGAACAAAATACGCCCGTGAATATCAAAAACAAAGAAAATAATTCAAGAATTAAAGTCCTCCACCAGGAGTACTTTGATGGAAGTCTAAGGTCGAAGAATAAAATCATGTTATAGAGATTAAACCTACAAAAGTTCATAAACATCAGTTAGAGGAAATATTCAGACAAGATTTTTATATTTCATATCATGGTGATTAAGCACACAAACTGTCATAAAGATTGGCTGAAAAATGTAGGAGGAGATCTCTGGACAAGATTTCTATAGTGAAATAAACAAAGGGGCCTGACTTTTATTCAAACCGTCTAATGAAAACCCTGTTCAGGAAAATACAATTTCATATCATGGTGATTAAGCCTACCAAGTTTCATAAAGATCGGCTGAAAAATGTTGGAGGAGATCTCCGGACAAGATTTCTATAGTGAAATAAACAAAGGGCCATAACTCTTCTTCTAATCACCAAATCAAAACCCTGTTCAGGAAAATACAATTTCATATCATGGTGATTAAGCCTATAAAGTTTCATAAAGATCGGCTGAAAAATGTAGGAGGAGATCTCCAGACAAATAAAAGTTTACGCCGGACACCAATGTGCGTATAAAAATTGTATCCCCTTCCCTCAGGATTCTGGTCAATTACAACAATGAGTATTATTAATTTTCTCAAAATACATTCATGTTGTTGGCTTCACAATTTGCATCAAACAATCATTTATGATATCATTTATGTACAAAACAATACTTCAAACCACATCTATGTTGTCATGTGAATGTATGATTTGAGGAAAGAGCCAATATAGGGTGATCTGTATTAAACAAGAATTAATATCGTCACTAGTGTTAATGGACCTGTAATGAAGAGGACATAATATGATAAAAGTAACACCCTTTAAAATTAATGTTATACTGAGATAAATAATGTACAAGGTATATCAGAAAAATATTACAGCTGTTATAAGATTTTACAAAGTAATTATTGTGAATTAATGTATTAAAATGAGATCATTATCCAGTTTAAATGACAACCAATGCTTTAAAATATGTTTTATTGTGACAGTTATCATGTTTTATTGAGGAAAAAAGATTGTTTTGAATTTCAAAATGACTTTCATACATATAATTTAAACTCTAGCAATCATAATGAGTATTGCTGAAGCAATACATGTCTCTACCAGCCCCCAAATGTTATGACACTGATTTATGTTTTCTAAAAAAAGAAAATGTGACCTTGACCTTGACACAACAACCCTGAAATTTGAATCTGTCTAAGAAAATCAGATGCTTTACGAGTGTGAGAAGTCAGAAGAAAATCTCTCAAGGAATGAAGTGGCTAGAGTGCAGACAATGATTTTCCAACAATGGCGCCCATAAATGTTTGATCTTTATTTCTCTTTAAAAATTGGATACCTTCCCTTCTTTTTCTTCTATTCTATTTTTTTCTGATCAGTCCAAAAATTAAACTGGCATACCTAGGGACAATGGAAATCCACTCTAGATGGCCAACTGTCCCCATTTTGATTTTCTTTTGCTTTCCCAAAATCAAACAATTAAGGACCAAGGGTACCTATGTATGAAATTTGAGAAAGATCTATACAAGAGGTCTCAAGAAAAAAGTGCTAACAAACTTTACTTGGCAAAATTCAAGATGACTATCTGTCAGCCTTTTTGTTAAACAAGTCAGTCCCAAAATCAAATGGGCACAACTTTAAAGAAAGGAGAAACTACATATGAAATCTGAGAGATCCATCCAGTACTTCTCAAGAAATAGTAATGACAAAATTGATTTCTGGACAGACTGACAGACAGATGACAGACCACAGATGTAGGGCAATTTGAATAGCCAACCATCAGATGATGGTGGACTAAAAATAGAAACAGTGACCTTGACCTTGACCCTACTCCCTGAAACTCTTGTCCAAGACATTTTGATACATAATAAGTGCATGAAGTTTAATGAGAATCACTTAAAAAATATAGCTGCTATAGTGCTGTCAAACTTTCACAGATGCATGGATAGGCAGACAGAGGGATGATAGATGAATGCTACAAACCTCTGTATTGTGGAGTGAACTGCTTTAGACTACATGGAATTGCCTGGTAGAAGACCTGTTCACGTTCTATCAGTGGTTTGCAGAGTGTGTCATCATTGAAGCGTAGCATGCTGGTATGACCGCCCACCTGATGGATGAACGGCTGTAACTGGACAGGTTCACAGTCACCCGGCTCTGTGTCCATCATGACTGCGCCCTCCTCCGGCATTATTGGCTATAGGCCAGACAGTGTTGGGTTAGAACCCCACTACTCGACCATCAGGAAGTTTCCACACACTGTAAAACAGTAATCAAAAACAATCATTATCAATGTCTCAGTTTGCACTTCTTGAACCAATTCATATGACAAAACCACTTTTTTATTGCATACATGCAACCTTTTCACTAGCTGTAGCAATAAATCAACTTGCTTTGAATATCTGGCTAGCAGATTTACATCACATATTAATGCCAGCCAAAAGCATGTATGTATCCTTTAATAGGCTGTTAAGTGAATCTGAACCTTCAATTCACCATGAATAATCCTTAAGCAGGAAGGAGTTCTATTGATGTCCCCTGGGCATGTCTTGCTATTTCAATTCCTTTTGTTCATTTACCTTAGTTTGAACTGGACAGAGTATAGCAATCCCAGCATAGAAAGTGTGTTGACATGAAGTTCATACTATAACTATAAAGACCAGTGCCAATGACCTTTCAATGTCCCATATCTATCAGGTTTGACAAAGTAAATACCTTTGCCAACCTCTCTACCTTGCAGCCTTAACAGGCATATACAATCCGCCCCAGTTTTAGAGACTTATGTTTTCCTAAAGTTCCTACTGCAATATCTCTTTTCCACAATGATATCATCCCTCTTTATGTGACTTAATGAGTATTGTGTTATTTAATTCAAGAATGAAAGGTGTTTACAAATTATTTTGGTTTAAAGATATCAAATTATAGCATGTAGATCAGCACATTAAAAAGTTACCAACATTACATTTAAAAGCAAAAATTGCAAAGACTGACATTGCCAACCATACAAATTAAATCCTGGCTATTTTGTCAAAGCTGTTGAAATCTGAGTCCCGTGAACTTATAAAACCTTACATTAAGCTATATATACATGATTCACTCAGAGTTGTTTATGTGACAGGATATTAAAGTATTAACTGTACACGTTAAAATTTCTCATTTTCCTGTCTATTGGTCATGCGTATATATCATGACCAATCAATTTTGTCATGTCATATCTCCTGTTCAAAATGTCTGGGTTTATGCCAATTGACAAGTCAGTTTACTTGAATATAACAGAAATCCAGGAAGCATATTTTTAAATGTTCTCATTGAATACTTATTAAGATTTGTGTCTATATATCATACTGTAGTTAAGATCTTTGTCATTTAATTCTATAGCAGTCGAGATCTTGAGCATTACACTTTCTAGCAGTGGAGATCTCATTCATCACATTCTGTTGCAGTTGAAATCTTTATTATTACATTTAACGGCATGAAGATCTTTATCATTATATTATACTGCAGTGGAAATCTTTAGTGAAAATCTGTACCACATTCTATAGCAGTAGAGATCTTTATGAATATATTTAATTGGAGTAGACATGGTCATCATTGTACATTTTAATTAGCTGGAAATTTTCATCATTTACATTCCAAATAGCAGTAGAGATCTTTGTTAACTAACATTTGTGATGTGGAATCTTCATCAATATTCTAACTGGCAGAAAAGATATTTATCAATATATGGTGAAGATCTTTATAATTTAGCTTATTTAATAAATTCTATAGTTGTGGTTATAAGGTACAGCCATTGTCTAGTGGAGATCTTTATCAGTATATTCTAAAGTTGTGGTTATAAGGTACAGCCATTGTCCAGATCTTTATCAGTATATTCTAAAGTTGTGGTTATAAGGTACAGCCATTGTCTAGTGGAGATCTTTATCAGTATATTCTAAAGTTGTGATTATAAGGTACAGCCATTGTCCAGTGCAGATCTTTATCAGTATATTCTAAAGTTGTGGTTATAAGGTACAGCCATTGTCTAGTGGAGATCTTTATCAATATATTCTAAAGTTGTGGTTATAAGGTACAGCCATTGTCCAGTGCAGATCTTTATCAGTATATTCTAAAGTTGTGGTTATAAGGTACAGCCATTGTCCAGTGCAGATCTTTATCAGTATATTCTAAAGTTGTGGTTATAAGGTACAGCCATTGTCTAGTGGAGATCTTTATTAGTATATTCTAAAGTTGTGGTTATAAGGTACAGCCATTGTCCAGTGGAGATCTTTATTAGTATATTATAAAGTTGTGGTTATAAGGTACAGCCATCTTTCAAATTTCAATTCCATAATTGTTCTCTCTGTATCCATTTACTCATTACGTGAAAGCCTGTATTGTATATCTACAGGTAAAGTTTGTTGAGCTAGAACCATGCCATTCTAATTTTATTTCTCTATGCATGTTTAAGAAACATAAAAGCATCACTTTTTATCAGTTCAGCAATATGATGCAAGCACAAATGAAATCATTATCTTTACATGCTTCACAAGAATGTTAACAGAATCACATTTAGTCAACAGCTTTTAGTAGATTTAAGAGCAAACTTTTTCCAACTATAGACAGAACTGATAAAGAATCAGTTTTTTTTTTCAACTATGCCTGTGAATAGTGATATCCTGACCAAGGTCAAACAGACTATAAGTCTAGATCTGCAACAAATACTCTGCACTTGTCCACTCCTAATAATACCATTGATGTATGCTTTAGTTGCTCTGTATCCCGGTAAGCACTGATAAAAATACAACATATCTACATTAGTGCAGGACAGATCGTCCTCCTAATCAGATACAAAATGTCAATGAAGCATGAAATTCAGGTTTTAAATCAACAGGCAAAGTTACCAATGCAAAAACAGACAAAACATTATTTACTTTTCAGCTTGTAAAGCGACACCAACCAGTTGAGCAAGAGTAAACATTATTATATAAACTGTATGATGTAAATATTGATTTCAAATTATACAATGAACAAGTTATGAATGTCAGGCATATATTTTTCCAATTTTGAATTTCTGCAATTTTTTCTGAAATGGTAAACTTTCCCTGTGATTCCAATACAATATGGTAATGGGTTCTTTCAAAAGAAAATTTAGTTTAACAGACCAACACTGAATCCTCTGTCTAACCACAGCATACTGCTACCTACCATTCCTACACACATACAGCAAGAATAACATAACATCCTCATACAATAAAACAATACATGAAGTAGCAATGTCTATATTTTTCTTCCCTTGTCCTCATTATGATTTCTCAATGATATAACAGTATCAGTTATCATTATACATTCGGAGTCCATTTGTTAAATGACTCTGCGAAACACAGTTTTCCCTTAAATTAGCACCACTTGTATGTGTGACAAATTAGTCACCTTCAATAAAACATAATCTCTATCACACAAAAAAAACTTCACATGTTTCTCCACTTATGATTAACGTCTAACAAACACATGTCATGTGGCAACTGCAAATTCTGTTCTTGTATATAGGTTCATGGCCTCATGTGAAAGATGTATATTGGGGTGGACAGTCTTTGTAGAGGTCTGTAAAAGTGATAGCCTTTCTTATAAAATAGCATCAAGCCTTTTACTTTAAACAAACACTTAAGAGGATCTTAGGACTTGTAAGTTCACCCATGTAATTTTTCTTACACTCATGATGTAAGGTTCTGTGAAAGAGTTAGGACAAAACTTGCAGAAAATACATTGTACTACAACAGAATTTGTTCAAATTTTTGCATTTGTTTTAATAATGATAACGGTAATTCAAATACTTTTAAAAGAAACTTCATTATTTTGTACAAACAAAAATACAATTAATTTTCAAAACATCCTTTTTAGAATTCCAGAAATACATGCACTTGTTATAAAGAGTCGGAGTCAATTGCAACAGGCACAGGATGAACCTTTTTTAATGTGTCCTTTATCCAATTAGCATGTCTTTAATTCTCACTGTTAAAGTAAACAAATATTCCTACCTACCATATACAGTTATATAAATGAATTTGACATGTGAATGCCAAGGCATGACCTACAGATACATCCTGTATTGACATAAATACATATGTATAAGCAACATGTTCCCAACTCTAACAGGACATAAAATACTAGAATACATCTTGGTCTTATCAAAAAAGTGAAAAATCAATTCAAAATACCATAAAACAAAACTGCCTCCTGAGCTCCAACAAAAATCTATAATTCATGCTTACCAGTAAGTTAGATGTATAGGTTCTCAGCAGCATTATGACACAGGTAAAATTTACTCCACATATTACAGTGCAGACTGTGCAGGTACAGTATATACATCCCTACATCAATACATGTTCAATTAACACATGTCAAGGTCTCTAGCTAAAAACTGCATTCAATAACAGATGTTTACCAAGCACAGATCTCTGAATCAATACAAAATACATATTATTGTGCCATATTAGGGTAATATACAGACATCAGCAACACAGATTAATATAAGATCCATACATGAACTGAAACCTGGTTCTTCATGACCTGCTTATATACAGGTATGCAATTAGTGACCAATCCTATATATAGCCTGTCTATGGCTACCCCATAGTGACCAGCCTTACCTGTTATAGTCTACCTGTAGGTACCTCCTTTAGTGACCAGTGCTAGTCCTGACTCATATGTAGGTACCACCAATGTGACTTAGTGTGTGTTCATTCATTCATTCATTCATTCATTCATTCATTTATTTTTCCAGTGAGCCATCCAACTCATAGGTTAAATAACAAACACATAATTACATAATGTGGTACAAATATGAATGAATGTTATACAAATTATGTTAAATGGAGAGTAAGCTTACAATGATACTGTAGTGTACAATTAGTTCTATCAATCACTAAATTCTGTGTGTTTCCTTGAGGCACAATATAACTATTTCCCTCAATTACATAATTCTTTTACATTGCTGGTGCTCAGTAATATCGTTTACTTAAAAACATTTGAACTACTGTGATAGAATTGTTTGATATATTTACGTCTCTGATTTTGGTAAAAAGGACATTTTAGGATAAAGCGAAATTCGTCCTCTATATCACCAGAGGTACAACGAGTACATGATCTATTTTGAAGATTAACATTCCGTCTACTGACTTCAATATTTAAATTATGTGACGACAATCTGAAACAAGTAATAAGACATTTGTACTTTGTTTCTATAGATTTACATAAATAAAATTGGAGCCAAAAGTTATCAA